CAGCATCATCGGCCTCACTGGTCCTCTTAAAAGCATCTGCTTGTTGCTGTTTCCCTGCACAGATTAAATCGATCAGCAGTGTCTGCCCCCCCCCTTTCCCCTCCTCCTAAATTAAGTAGAGCTTTTAATGAAGTGATTTATGTTGAATTCCCAGCCCGGGGATGAAACCAGGCACAGGGAGCGGGGCTGGGGGTCTCCATCAATCACCGCTCCCTTGGGATACACTTGGCAGGGCAGGGAGGGATGGAGCTCGTGTTCACAGCACCAGGAACCGCTGCAGCCACAAGCTCCTGCTTGTTTTCCTGGGGTTACCAGGAGGGCAGTTCAATAGGATCAGAGCAGAGCAATGCTGCTGATGGGGATGGGGTGGGTAGCGGGAGCATCCCTGCATCCTGCATCCCGCAGCGCCCTGGGGATGCTGCGCTGCCTCTCACCCAGGGATGGATGCAGGGATGGAGATGGGGATCCTCACTGCTCTTCCAGGTACAGCATCATCATGACGTGGGCAACCCCTCAACATGGAGATACCCCAAATTTGATGTCAGCACCCACCTAATGGGTGGCCCCACGTGGAGCTGGACCCCGAGCATCATCCCTGAGGGTGGCAGCAAGCGCAAGACAAGGCTGCAGGACCAAAGCCATCCCCATCGTCCAAGCACTGCCCAGGGGCTGCAATTGAATTTAGGAGGTGAGTGAGATGGGAAATGACCCCAAAACAAGGGGGGATTGGAGTGGGTGCCTGCAGGACTCCCCCCTCCAAGCACTGGCAGGGCATTGGTGCTCAGCCCCCATAGCACGTTTGGCCCTCGCAGCATCCTTTGTCTCTTCCACTCCTCGCCTTCCTCTTTCTCTCCTTTTAAAGCCCTCTGGCTGTGCAGGACCCAGGCAACCTCTTGGCCACGGCCCAGCCCCTGAGCTGGGCTTTGTCCTGCTGCCAGCCGTGGAAGTGTCTCTGCATCTGCACCTTGATGCAGGGTCCTACAGCACAGTGGGTGCATGGGCAGCAACCCCCTTGTCCCACACGTCCCAGCCAGCAGTGGGGCTCCGGGGGTCTCCTCCATCCCCATAGCAGGGCCAGAACCAGATGTAGATCAGAACCAGAACCAGATGTGGATCAGCACCAGAACCAGATGTGGATCAGATCCAGAACCAGATGTGGATCAGATCCAGAACCAGGTGTGATCAGCATCAGAACCAGATGTGGATCAGATCCAGAACCAGATGTGGATCAGCACCAGAACCAGATGTGGATCAGATCCAGAACCAGGTGTGATCAGCATCAGAACCAGATATGGATCAGATCCAGAACCAGGTGTGATCAGCATCAGAACCAGATATGGATCAGATCCAGAACCAGATGTGGATCAGAACCAGAACCAGATGTGAATCAGCACCAGAACCAGATGTGGATCAGCATCAGAACCAGATGTGGATCAGATCCAGAACCAGATGTGGGTCAGAACCAGATGTGGATCAGATCCAGAACCAGATGTGGATCAGATCCAGAACCAGATGTGGATCAGAACCAGATGCGGATCAGCACCAGAACCAGATGTGGATGAGCACCAGATATGGATCAGCACCAGAACCAGATGTGGATCAGATCCAGAACCAGACGTGGATCAGCACCAGAACCAGATGTGGATCAGCACCAGATATGGATCAGATCCAGAACCAGACATGGATCAGCACCAGATGTGGATCAGCACCAGAACCAGATGTGGATCAGCACCAGATATGGATCAGATACAGAACCAGACGTGGATCAGCACCAGATGTGGATCAGCACCAGAACCAGATGTGGATCAGCACCAGATATGGATCAGATACAGAACCAGACGTGGATCAGCACCAGATGTGGATCAGCACCAGAACCAGATGTGGAACAGCATCACATGTGGATCAGCACCAGAACCAGATGTGGATCAGAACCAGGTTGGATCCAAGGAAGAAGTTGCTCCCTGTGAGGGTGCTGAGGCACTGCCCAGAGAAGCTGTGTCTGCCCCATCCCTGCAGTGTTCAAGGCCAGGTTGGACACAGGGGCTTGGAGCATCCTGCTCTAGTGGAAGGTGTCCAGCATTCCCTGTGGGCTCTGCGATGGGACCATCCCTGGGTGCTGAGCCCTCGCTCCCTGTTACTTTAGGCTGGTTTTAGGCTCCGTCTCCTTTGTTCCAGATTTACAGCACAGACAGCAGGCCTGCTCGGAATGCAGCTCGGATGCAGGAGGCTGTAAATCTCAGCCTTTGTTGTGCTTGGGCCTCACTAAATCAGTGCTTTTCCCCCTGAATATTCATCTCCTACAAAGTGCTGAGCCCTGCATCTTTGTGGGGAAGAGGCTGACGCAAGGGCCGGGGCTGTGCCATAGGCGACGCTTCCAACCAGGATCCAGGTGAAATCCCAACCACCTCCAAGGCAGAGGCACAGGGGAAGGCAGCAGGAATGGGTGCCACAAACCCCTGGAGCCGGGAGAACACCGGGATGCCCCTGGGGAAGGATAAAGCAGCGAGGAGCTGGCTCTGGGATGCGAGGGGGGGGGACTGGAAGGTGTTTGGCACCGGCACGGCTGGAAAAGCTCTCCCCATGCCAAAGCACACACGGCCCTGGATCCGTGTTCATGCACCCGGTGCTGCAGAGCAGCATCCAGCTCCTTATGGGTCCCTTTGCGCCTCTCGCTATGGGGTCATGCAGCAAACCCCTCCCTTCCATAGAGTTGGGGGTCACTGGGGGCCAGGGCTTGGGCTACAGCACCCATAGGTGCCCAGTGATGGGCTGGTGGGAGCAGGGCTCCCCTTTGCAGCACAAATCCATGTGGGAAGGATGTGTCTTTCCCATCCCAGGGCTGGCTGTGTGCTGGGGTGGGGGGGGGGGAAGGTTGAGCCCCATCCCTATGGAAAGCCAACAACCCACAAGGGCTTGCAGGGGCTTGGTTAGGGATGTGGAAGTGGTCCAAGGATGCTGTGGGTTCACGTAGCGCCCTTGCTCCCCACTGGTGCTCAGCACTGGAGCTGGCAACGGAGCCGTGCGGCGCAGGACAACCAGGGAACGGCATTCCCTGCCTTCCAGATCCTTCTAAATGGGAATCACAGGAGGAAAACAGACACAAAGCAACTCCTCGCTCATAAACACCAGCATGGATGGGGCTCATAGAGCACCACAGCTCGCCCTCAGCTCACCCCTTCATCCCATCAGCATCCCACTGCTTCCTGGGAGCCTGTCACAGCTCTTGGAGGGGGCTTTTGGTGCTGGCACAGCTTGTTCTTCCCTGGCTTTGATGAATCCCTATGGTTTTAAGCCAGGATCCTGCCTCCCGACTCCCACCCATATGGGACACCCTGAGAAAGGAGCATCCCTGCTCCTCTGCAAGGGGTTTTCTCCTGCAAAGGGAGCTGCTGCTGTTCACCCCTGTTCCTGCTGCGGAGGAACAAAGAGGCCATTCAAACCCAGCTTTCCCAAGCCTGTCCCTGGTTGCTTCCTGATGGAAGCTGATGGCCTGATCCTGCTCAGCTGCTGGTGCTGCCGGCACACCCAGCCCCTAGTATTAAAGCAGAGGAAGATGAGCTCATTGCTGCTGTGCAGCAGGCACCCACCAGGCTCGCTCAACGCATCAGGTAGGCTCATGGTGCTGCAAGCACAGTGGTGATGGGCTTGGTGAGCTGCTGGGGCACAGCCACTGTATCCATGTGCTGGTGATGCCTGCAAAGGGGCTTGTGTGGGGCAGGACAAGGCTCTGGTGCATCCCTCGGGCAGGCTGCAGGCGCAGCACCCAGGCAGCGATGGTGCCCATGGATCTGTGGGTGCTTTGAGGATGCCTGCGCCCCATGGACCACCATGAGGGGCTGGGGAAGGGAGCAGCATCCCCTGCTGCAGAGCTCGGTGGGTTGCCTTGGCCGCTGTGTGCAGCGGGTCTGGATGCAAGGCCAGGGTTTGGGCTTTGAAGCAGGCACGGGGAGAAGCTTTGAAGTCTGCTTGGTGTTGAGAACACTTCATTACCCCGCGGTAATGAATGGCTGATTCCGGGAACTCGGAATTCCTCAGCTCTAATGGGTGCCGGGAGGGAACTGGGATCGCTCCCTCCCGCAGCTCCTGGGAATCCAAACCCGCTCTCCTCCCAGCTTGAGGCAGATGCTGGGGTGTTGCGTGCGAGGATCAGGCTCTCCATGTGCTGCTCTGCTGTCGTGGGGCTGCAGCCAGCTCTTTAAAGGAGGGCTCCCAACACACCTCCTCCATGTGGCTTCGTGCGTTACTGGAGGGATGCTGTGCATGGGCACCAGGAGCACTGAGACCTGGGTGCAATCAGGAGCATGACTTCATGGGCTCTGGGGGGGGGTTAATGCTGGTCCTTGGGTGTCGTTTGGACCTGGAAGCAGGGTCCTGCGTTAAATCCCAAGGGCTTCATGGACATGTGGGATGTGGAAAGCTTTGCAGGTGTTTCTAGAGGCTCCTGGTCGGCCCCGGCTTCCCTTTGGGACATAGTGGATTCCCTCCACCAGCCCATTTTGGGGCTCGTCAATGCAAGCACTGGGTGATGCTGCGATCTACCGGTGGGAAGCGGCACTGGCGTTCACTGCGCTGACAGAAAGGACCCGCATCCCTCCCGTCATCGCCGCGGGGTCAGCCCCGTTTGTGCCCAGCAGCTCCAGCTCCCTCTTCACACGCTTGTTGCCATAACGGGAACAAGCTGCTCGCATCCTTCTGCACACCCATCTCAGTGCCCCCACTGGGATCTTACACTGAGCAAGCTCCTCTGAGTCAGCCACCAGCAACACCTCACCCGCATCACGCAGAGGAATGGGGTGGTTTTATTGAGGTAACGTTAGTTGTTCTTTACTTAACCCCCAATACTCCATGCTGCGTCCCAAGGCAGGGTGCAGGGGTGGAACAGGGAACACGGCATTCCTGTGAGCAGGATCCTGGAGCTGTGTGCTTGAAGTGCTGATAGCAGCCGGGCTTTTGAGTTGGATTGTTCTAAGGGCTGTCTGACCTCTACAAGAGATGCTTCATTCTACTTAGCACCAAGTCTAGTTTTACATTGACAATAAGTATAAATACACGTTTAAAACCCATCATCTGAGTCATTGCTGAAGACATAGGACAAGTTAAAAACACATAAATGCTAAAACCAGCTTTTGAGCATCTTCCCATAGAGGCTTCCAGAGTCAGTCAGCATCGGAGTGCCCGAAGCATCACTTTGTGCAGCACAAGGGGTCTGAGCACACTGATGTGCAGCTCTGAGCCTGATAAGGTTTAATTGACTTGATGCAGGTTGCATCAGGCTTGGTCCAGCAGTGAAGCCATCCTCTTCACAGCCCTGCTCTTGTCCAGCAAGTCCTTAGGTCCTCCTGACCAGTTAAGTTCAGCCACAGCACTGAAGAGTGTGCTGGCATCCCTCTGCTGCTCTCATTCACCTTGGTACACATGGAACAGTGAAACACAACAGCGACACAGGCCCCTCTGTGCACTGCTTATTGGTTAACCCATGCTAGGATCAAGAGCTTGGAAAGCTGCAGCAGCCAGATGATGCTGCAGGCCCTGGGGATGGGGGTCTCACACTGTACACCAGGCTTTACCAGAGCTCCAGCACAGCTCATTCTGGGCTTCAGTGCAATGAAGAGTTGCCTTTCCTGAGGTTTAAGAGCACAAACACCCCCCTTCAGCAACAGTGCTGACAGTGGCATCACTGTTAACATACCATAAGTTAAACTAGGAGGGGGGGATCCAGCACAACAGAGGAGCTGATGCCATCCAGGTAAGTGCCAGCAAGCTTGGAGCACACAGAGAGGCCCCCAAGGGCTGCTGCCTCCTCTTTTGGGTGATGCATCCTCTGGGAAAATCCCTCTTTCCTTCTGAGGAGGGGCAGAGGGGACAGTGCTTCTCTCCCGGTGTCACACAGCCCTCGCTGGCTCCAGGCTATGCCCCATTGGCACCGGCTTTGCTGCTCCGAGATGCTTCCATTTGAGTCTGGGTGCAAGAGAAAGACGTGGATTTGAAGCACTATCAGGACAAACGCTTCTTGAAATGTAAGGGATTCTTTGGAAGAAGGTATTTTCCCTATGGGAAGCAGGCTAAGAACAAAGTTACTGTGGAAAGGAGCATCCTCCTCCTTGCAGACATCAAGCCTGGATGTCTGCATGAGCAGCTAAACTGACATCAGGTATTTACAGCAAGAAAACAGGCACAAGTCACTGCAGAAAGGACTTTACAGATACAAAACACCATGTAACCCCAGGGTGGGTTTATCCTCGTGGTCCACAGGCGGATATTAAAGAAGAACACAGAGAAAGGCACACTGGGAATTCCCCACAGTGCCTGTCAAGTGTGGTGGGTTTGTATTTAGCAGCCCTCAATGCAGTTCTCATCCACCCCAGGTGCTCCTTGAACTCAACATCCCCAGCACCTCGTAGCATCCAGCCCCAGCTTGGGAGCTGTGGAAAGAACAATCTCCTTTGGGAAGTCTGAGGTTGGAAAAGCTTACCTCTTGTGGGGGAGGCTTTGCTGGCACTTCTGAGCCTGGCAATTGCTCTGTTGGCTGGGATACAACCTCTTCATCCTTTAAGGGAAAAGCAGCTTTAAGACATAGAAGCCTTGGAAAACAAAGCTCTACCTCCATCCCATCCAGCCCCTTCTCCTTCCCATGCACTGCATGCCTGTGAGAGCTCCAGGTCAGCATCTCCAACCTAACAGTGCTGTTTGGAAGTCCTAGCAGTCGACACAATGTCCTCCTTCAGTTCTGCTGCTGCTTCTATCAGCTTGGACTAATCCAAGGAATTCTCTTCAGCCTTATGCTGAGAACCATCCCCTCTTGGCTTTCCTGCTCCAGGTGTTTTGTCTCTCCTTGTCCTGGACCACTCCCCAGCTCACTAAGAGAGTTGAAAACAAGCCTCAAAGTCACCTTTAACTGGCTTCTCTGAGCTAACTGTACCTGGACAGAGGTCTCTGTATGTGACTAAAGCAACTTAGCAGCTTGTGAGCCCTCCTCTGCTGGAAGCCAGCACCCTGGTACTGATTAACTTGGGTTATTAACCCTAATCCTGGTGCTGCTTCCAGCACCAGCCCAAGATGTGCCATAGCTCTCTGTACCTTTCACTGCCTCAAGGCAAAGCGTGCAACCGTGAGGCTCTGTGGCACAAACACAAGCACATGCACTGCTTGTGTGCTCTGGACAATGGTGTCAAAGAAGGGGTGTTGCCTAGCTCTGGAAAGCTCTGTCCCCATGCTCTTCCCAAAGATTACAGCAATACACCCTCATTGTCCTACTCGGAGATTGCTCTTTTCCAACCTTTCCTCCCTGTACAACAGGGGCAGGATCCATCAGGGTCTCTTGGCCTTCGAGAGTGGATGTCGAGACTGGAGCAGCTTCACCTCTCTGCAGAAGAACACTGAGCTCAGCACAGTTCTAACTTCAGCCCCCTCCGAGGATCAAAGAACAAGATCCTTGTCTCAGGGCTTCACCTTTACAACGTGTAATGGTTGAGCTATTAACCTGAAAGCTCTATTCAAACAACTCACCTGCTTTTGGGGAACTGGAGCAGGTTGTGGCTTTGCATCTATCAAGTACAAGGCACGGGAAAGCAGGAGCAGAGAAGGTGGAACGTCCTCTTTCAAATGCAGATCCAGCCACTATTGGAGGAAAACAGAAGGAAAAGGTATTTCATACATGGTTTTATGTCGGTACAGAAAACACAGCACCCTTTGTCCTTCAGGAGCTTAAAGGTATCTGGAGTTTGACTTGCACAGATTGAAGTTGCCACAATGAGAAGGAATAGTTTGGAAGAGTTAAGGATACCAAATGGAATACACGCTAGAGAGGATGCTCCCAGCTGCTCAGAGGGCAAACATCACTACTGAGAAGCAGCCACCAGCTAAAGCAAAGTACTTTGAGTTACCTGTGTCTTACACAAACATCACCTACCGCACTATGTGTAACCTGTTTCAATGCTTACAGAACACTAGTGTTGGCTCTGCTACAAATCTTGGCTACTTTAGAAGCTTAAATCATATTCCACACCCCCTCCCTTCATCTTCCTTCTAGCTGGCCCTGATGCAACTTGGTCTTCTCCTTAGTCCAAGCCATCATCTGGATCCTGCATGCCTTTAATATGTTTTGTCAGGCGAGGACCCACGTGGAATGGATGAATCCCTGGTGAAGCTGGGCCTGAGCACTGCTCCTCACTGTGTCCTAGGACCACACCGGAGTGGACTTGCCTGTCTGAGCTGTTCCTTCAGTTGCTCCTCTGAGAGACCCAGTGACCGCATCCCTCTGGCTCTGCACGCGCTCTGCAGCTCGGACACACTCAGGCCATTGACTCCTTCCTTGGCAATCAGCTGCAATGAAAAGGGATGCTCCTATCCAGGCACAGAGCAAGCCAAAACCCTGATGTACTTGCTGGGCTTGAGCCCAAAGAAAGGTCTGTTTAGGTAAATGGGCATGAAGTCACCCCGATACAAAGATGAGAGGGAACCTTTGTGGGTTATTCCTTCTGACAGCTTTCAGCTCCAGAGGATGGAAAACCTGGATCCTAATTACTTTGGGTTCCCCCAGGCATATGTTACATGTGATGCTGCAGGTCCGAAGAGCTCCTTCACACACTCAATTGCAGGCTTTAAAGCTGGACCAGGGTTAGTTAGTTAGCTGGTTAGTTAATTAGTTAGTTAACCTGGTTAGTTGCATGGGCCTGTCAGAACTCCTCACCTCTTCCTAGCAGTAACCTTTCTGGTCTTTTCTTCTGTGTCCCAATAGGATTCTTTACACCATTTCAAACCACAGCTCCTGCACAAGCCTAAAACATAGGCTGGGACTTCTGGAGGTCCCCAGTCCAACCTCCTGTCCAACAGAGGGTTAACTTAACACGTTTCTTTACATTGCTCAGCCTTTTCCATGTATGCCTTGAGCATCCTTAGGGATTCGGATTCCACAGCCTTTGGAAAACCTGTTCCACTGTTTACCCACTGAGTTTGACTTTGTTTCCTTATCAAGATGGAATTTCCCTTGCTGCAACTGATGACCTTTACCTGTTCTCCTCCTGTGCACCTCTAAGTCTGGTTCCATGTGCTAAGCAACCCCATTAGGCGCATTCTCCCTTGGCCTTCTCCAGGCTAAAGGAATGCAGCCACTCTATAAACTAATATAAACTCATCCTGAATTCACTTGGTTCATGGTGTTTCCATGAGATGTCTATTCCAGACCTGGAAAGCAGCAGTGATTCAGTGGGCTTGCGCTCCACCAAAGCAAGGACATCTGAGCTGCCTCAAGCTCACCTCATCGTCTGCCTTGATGGTTCTGAGCCTGAGCAGGAGCTGAAAGCGGAGCAGGTTGTTGGTGCCAATGGGCTGCAGCTCAAGCAGCTTGCACAGAGCCACCAGCTGAGGCCGTTCCAAGTGCTCCAGGGTGAGCTCGTCCTCAAAGAGCTTGGAGAAGCGCACGATGTCCTGGGTGCTGGGCTGGTGGCCGCTGCGACGGATCTGGGCAAAGCAAGAGGCATCAGGGCCAAAGAGCACCCCAGTTTGGGAAGGATCCTCTTCCCCCTCTCAGGAAGGGGCCCTTCCTGTTTCTCACACTGGGTTTTCAGCCTCTGGATGGAAACCAGAGCCTATAGTTACAAGGCCAAAGGGAAACAGCATTGAGTGGCCACCTAAAGGATGCTCCAGCATGGGAATGCTTGTCCGTATGGATAGCTCTGAGTGGTGGGGTCAAGAGCTAGTGCCAGCAGGGCATCAGCAGCAGGAGGGCATCCAGTTAATGGTAACCCCAGACAGACAGCTCTGCAATCTTAGTACAAATCCCTCATTCTCTGCTCAAAACAGCATCGCTAAACCCCACCACCACCACCACCCCCCAGCCCATTTTACCTGGTGCACATAAGAGGAGAATTGTTTTCCTTGTGCTGATTCCACTTTGTTCCTTTTGGCCATCTCTGCAATGGTTTCCTGCAGGAACTTGGCTAACTCCAGCTTCGCGTTTAACCTCTTCTTCTGCTTCTCTTCCTTCATTTAGGAAACGAAACAGAAATTAGGAATTCCACTTGAAAATCAGGAGGGGATTGCGGGAAGGAGGTGGGATAGGGCTTCAGGGCTGAAAGCAAACAGGCATGGGTTGAGGCAGGTAAATGACTTGCTGTGTGTTTTCCTGCTGATCACTGCTTACAGCACACCCACCAGACCCTGGTGCTCAGCATAGGAACAAGCTGGGCCCTCGACCTGTGCATGAGGCTGTTCCTCACTCAAAGCAACAGGCAGGAAGCAAGAGCTCTTGTGTGCAGCTGTAGAGATGCTCTGATGAGCTGGAGAACGCCCTCAGGAAGGACACAAACCTTCTTTGACTCCGTCTCAAACGTCGAGGGCAGCATTTCAGGAAAGAGCTTCAAGAACACAGGCAACAGGAACTCCATGAAGGGGACAATGACAAACACCAGGAAGGGAACCAGGCGGAAGAGATCTGCACAAGTTCTCAGCAGCTGTAGAGAAGACACAGCAGAAATCACCACTCAACCAGGCACACAAATGGGCTCCAAAGGAGCGTGGCAACTGAGCGGTTCAGCTCCTTTCATAGAACCATTGAGTTAGGGTTGGAAAGGACCTGAGGATCACCCAATTCCAATCCCCTGCCATGGGCAAGGGATGCCTCACACTAGACCATGTCACCCAATGTGGCCTTGCACACTACCAGCGATGGAGCATTTACCACTGTGCCAGCTCCTCAGTATCCTCACATAAAGAACTTCTTCCCTATCTCCAACCTGAAACTCCCCTGTTTCAGTCTGAACCCATCACCCCTTGTCCCATCGCTACAGCCCCTGATGAAGAGCCCCTCTCCATCACTGCAAGCCTCTTATCGCATCATTTCAGCCAGGTAGCACTCACCCTTCTTCTCTCCCTCCTAGTGAGGACCTGGCCATGTAGCAGCCTCCACACCATCCTGGCAGCCACCTTCGTGTCGATCCAAAGCAAGTGGAATCCATTGTAATAATGCCTCAGTTCCCCCACAACTCGTTGGCGTAAAGATCTTGTCCCCTTGGGCCTCTCTGCGTCTGGAGCTGTGTCAGGATGAGCCTTATGGGTCACATCGCTGCAGGATGTGGGTTCTTCCTGGTGTGAGCAGCTGGAGGTGTGGAATGCCCGTAGGGATGCAGCCAGTGGATGGGGCAGGATGGTACCCACGGGAGCACGGCACCCATGGTTCACAGAGTCTCTTACACAGGTCCAGCTTAAACCAGGATCCACTGCTTGGGCAAAAGCAGCTGCTGGGGAGTGCAGAGAACTGGAATGCGCGAGGAGATGGGAGCCTCTGAAACTGGGAAGGTGTTTAAGCAAGTCAGAGCAGCGCAGCCGTGGTACCCAGGCTTCAGACACATGTTAATGGCCTTAGTGCCAAATTCATAGCCACCAACTGCTTTGGGTTGAAGGGGTCTGAGAGGAAAGTACTGAGAATCACAGCAGTGCCCTATGATCCATCCAGTGCTGACAGCTCTTTTGGTGGAGAACAGCTCAGGACTTCACACTGAAGGAAAGCCCTTTTAGCAACTGCACTGCTCCAAATTTGCTAGTTTTAAACCCAAACCGTATGTTCAGAACGGAGATCACATCTCCTGCCCCAGCAGCATCACTTGGGCATCATGGGCAAACTCCATCTCCTTTATCAATGGGAGAAGACCTCGCCCACCGGAATCCCTGTGTTTTAGTTAAACCAAACGTTGCATTTCCCATCTTTAACCCAGGAATCGTTTTAACGCATCCCTGCAGCGTGTTAACGCATTGCTGCTACCGCACAGCGCCAGTAACCGCATATAAACGGCTAAAGCAAGGCGTTGCGGTGCCCGGGACCCCCCGAGGTGCGCTTACGCCATCCCTATCCCCATCCCTGGAGCACAGAGCGCTTGGAAACCCCACCGGCTCCTTACCTGTGCCTGGCGGCGGCGCGGAGCAAGCTCCATCCCCCTGCGGCCATGGCGGACGGGCTCGGGCCCCGGAGGACCCCTCATCCCCCTCGGGCCCGCAGCTCCCGGTGCTGGCCCCATCGGCGGCTCCCGCACCGCCCCATCGCGCCCGGTCCGCAGCGCTCCCGCACCGGCGAGCGCCGCTCTATGGCTGCATCGCCATCACGCCACGGCGCGGCGGCACGGCCCGCTCCGAGGGAGCCAATCAGAAAGCGGGATTGAGGCCCTGCCGCACAGGACACCCAATAGGAGCGGGGAGGAGGCGGGGCTTGACCCGAGGCGGCACTAGAGCGGGCTGGTCCAAGCGCTGCCGGTGATGGGGCAGCCACGGCTTCCCCGTTCAACCCATCCCGGTGTCCCAGCACCCTCACAGGGCAGCACTGCTTAAAGAGCCCATCCCAGCCTCCCCTCTGGCAGCTTAAAGCCATTCCCCTTGGCCTGCCCCTGCATCCCTTGTCCAAAGCCCTTCTCCAGCTTTCCTGCAGTCCCTTCAGGCACTGGAGCTGCTCTGAGGTCTCCCCTTAAGGAGCCTTCTCTTCTCCAGGCTGACCCAGCCTGGCTCCAGAGCAGAGCTGCTCCCCTCATCCTCATGCCCTTCACTGGATGGGCTCCAACAGCTCCACATCCTTACGCTGGGGACACCAGAACCGTACGCAGTGACCATTAACGTTTAATTCCACGCATTTAGAATGCACAGAAGGGAGAGGGAAAGCCTTTCCCAGCCCACCTCTGATTGTGTTGAAAGAGAGTTGCTTTACCATCCCCTTTCACACTGGGGGCCATGAGATCATCACTCAGCTCGTGTCCCAGCTTCCTCTTCCGTGTTAGGTCTCATCGCCTTCTACCTCATCCTTCCTGCTTTATTGTCCACGGGTGTCACCTCCACATCGCGTTTACTTTGCCTTTCCTTGCTTCCCTTCCCTTGTCTCCCCCCGCCCCTGCCCCGCGCTGGCTTCGCTGCAGAGCACATTCACTCCGTGCGCTCCGCTTGCGTTTTCCTGGGCTAAATAAAGCCGGGAGGGCCGTGAAGGAGGGGAATTAACCACGACCATCCCCATGTCTCCTTCACCACTCACAACCTCCCGCGAGCCACGGCGCTTCCCTCCCGGCTCCCACTGGGGTCCCTCGGCCGGGGCCGGTGCTTCCCAGGCCTCACCGTGAGCTCCTCGGGATGCGGGACACGGAGTCGCGGTACCGAGCTGACCCCTCCGGACTACAACCCCCATAATGCCTTGCGGCCGACGCCGCTCGGCTACCCAATAAGATGCGAGGGGCGGTGGCGTCCCGTACGTCGTGCGCGGCGGCGGCGGCGGCGGCGGGGGGGCGGAGGCGGAGGGCGCGCAAGCGGGGCCGGGACCGGGCCTGAGCGCACCGAGCGCCGCCTTCCCCCGCCGCCAGCGGTCGCCCGCGCCCCGCCGAGCGCCTCCCCTTGGCCGCAGCGGCCGGGAGCCGGGCGGTGGGGGGGGCGGGCGGGCGGCCTCCCTCCCGGGGCGGAGCTCGGACGCCAGCGGCGGGGGCGCGGAAATCGAGGCCGGGGCTCCATCGCGGCCTGCTGCTGCAGCGGGAGGAGGCGGGAGGCCCGCCCGCCGCCGCCGCCGCAGCCCCCGCCGCCGGCCTTTGTCTCCGCTGGGCTGGGTGGACGCGGCGGGGGCAGTTAGAATGGAACACACTGAAGGTGAGGGGCAGCGGGGGCGGCGGCGGCGGCGGCAACGGCCCGACCGGGCTTAAAGGGGCCGCGGCCGCCATGTTTGCTGCCGGCGCTGCGGCGGCACCGGCGCGGGCTCCACGGGGCGGGCGTGTGGGGCGGTGTGAACGGGGCTGTCCCGAGCCGAGCCGAGCCGACCCCGCGGCAAGGGCCGGGCAGCAGCGGAACGCGGGCTCCGTGGGGCCGGGCAGCGGGACCCGCTCCCTGCCTCCCTCCCACCCTCCGGTTGCGCAGGCGGCAGGTAACCGGGGTCCGGGGAGGTGTGTGGTGTGTGTGGGAGGGGGGAACCTCGGGCTCGGTGTGTGTGTGGTGTGAGCGGCGCCGTGCCCCTCGGCTCCCCGTCGGTTGTAAGGGTTTCCTGTGTTTGGAATGCCGGGCAGAGCGCGCTTGGATGGGTTGGGGTGGGTTTGGGGCTGTTGCTTCCTTGTGTGTCCCGCCCGGCTTGCTTTGAAGGGTCAGTTTTAATGAAAGCTGAAGGTTTTCGAGGAGGTGTTAAGAAGGAATCCTAACGCTGATCCAGTTCATTGTGTACAAACCGCCCCAAAAGCCGGTGTAAGGTGATGGGAGCTGAGGAAGAAGTTGTAGCCTGTTTTAGTGGTTGTTCCTGTGGCTTTAGTGTCGAGATGCGCAGAGGAAGTTGGGGCAGATTAAGAGTTACAATGGGAATAATGAACTGCTTGGGAAGGTTTGGCTCCCAAAAGTGAGCATGGGCTTCATGGAGTCACGGAGGAGAGGATGCTCATCGAGGGCTGCATGGTTTGGGTTCATGCAACAGCGTTGTGAGGCTTTCAGGGTGTTCACTGCGCCTGAGCTTGAAGGGATTCCTATGGGATACAGTGCAGTTACTGCACTGGGTTGAGATGTGGAAGCACGTCACGACTCTTACAAGGCTTGGTATTAAAGAGCTGGTTTCTGAGACTTTAAATCCCGATGATTTAGAGCCCCAAAGCGACCCCTTTTCTTTCCCTTTTTAACCCATAGCGTTGTCTTTGCTGCTGCCCAAGTTGTTCCGTTCCGGAGGTAACTTCGTGCAGGCACCTTTCTCAAACCCAGGTTTCAGCCTTGACTCTTTCTTCTGGCCTTAAACAAAAGCAAAGCACCTTTAGGAAGGGACCCAGGGGAGGGGGCAGTCTCTCCACACACCCTCAGGTTTGTCTAGAGGCCTCTGATTCACCCTCTGTGGCTGCCAGGGGGGGTCCACAGGCTGCAGTTCCTCTGCTAAGGAAGCTCTGTGCTGTTATAAACCATCCCAAACCGTTCTAGGATTCCACGGAAAACTCGGTGTTGTCTTAATGTGTGTAAAGCAAGCTTGCCATGAATGGTTTCCTAAGGCCATGCAGGACAAAGTGGGACAGAGCAGGTTGCAAATCCCGATGGCAGGAATGGGGAAGACTCATTCTGTTATTTCTGCTCCTGTATTGTGAGCATCACAGAAGGCTGTTAGGGTTGAGGAAGCAGCTCCGCAGGTGATTTTGGACGTGACCATAGGCAAGGTGAGGCTGTGCTCAGTGGTGGTGAGGAGCCTCAGGTGTTTCACCTGGTTCCAGGTGTTAAGAGCAGGAATGGAAACACAGCAGGAGCTGATTGCATCACTTCTAAACCTGAGCGAGCCAGCTCGGTTCCAGCCCAGCAGCTGTCCTTGGTGCAACACCTACAGCAGAGCTCTCAGCTCAGCTGCGTGGAGGAGATGCTGGAGGTGCCTGGTACCAGCATGGGTGAGACACGGGGGTACAGGGAATGAAACAGTGTGGAAAGTGGCATTGAATGGGTGTGTGGTGACTCAGGCAGTGAAGAGCTGGGCTGGTTCTGCTGGAGAAGGCTCCAGGGAGACCTCAGAGTGGCTCCCAGTGCCTCAAGGGGCTACAGGAAAGCTGGAGATGGGCTTTGGACAAGGGATGGAGGGGCAGGACAAGGGGGAATGGCTTTAACCTGGTACAAGGGAGATTGAGCTGAGCTCTCAAGTTCTTCACTGAGGGTGATGGAACACTGGGATGGATTGAATGGAGAAGCTGTGGCTGCCCCATCCATGGCAGTGCTCAAAGCCAGGTTGGACAGGGCTTGGAGCACCCTGCTCTAGTGGAAGCTATCCTTGCCTATGGCAGGGCTTGGAACTAAAGGAGCTTTAAGGTCCCTTCCAACCCAAACCAGGCTGGGATTCTATGATGTGAACAGATCTTTGAATCTCTCTGCTTCAGCCCAGCGTGGATGGGAGCTGGGTTGTTGTTGTTACAGTGTAAAGACATCCCTGGAACTCCTGCTTTCGAGCCTGTTGATCGGAAGCGTGGCTGAGGGTGACGAGGCGGTGACACCGTTCACTGAGCACATAAGGCTGACTCAAACGCGTGCTGTTTCAGCTCAGTGAGCCAGTAGGACAGTTCCTGTTCGCACAGCAGATGCGTTTGCCATCCTCTTGGCTCTCCCAAGCGCTAACCAACTGCTGCAGGCAGGGCTCCCCGTGTGTGGGGGTGTCCCCGGGAAAGGGTGCCTTGAATACAGAAAGGCTTTGTGGAAATCCTGCCGTGCCTCCCTTGATGTTGTGTCAGCTCCAGGGATCTTCTCGCCTTGCTTTGAGCTCTTCCTGCCGGAGCAGGAGCACAGTGGATGGATCCATGGCGCTCCCGTGTTGCTGTGGGAGCCCGAAGCTCCTTGTTTAGGAGGAAGAGCAGCTCCCATCAGTGGGATCAGCATCCTTCGGAGCTGTTTGATGATCTGAGGGCTCAGTTGTTATTTAGTGTGCTGCAGCACAGCAGGAATACTGGGGGGGGTGTGTGTGTGTGTTGGTTTGCTGGGAGGGAAGTTGCGAAATGCTCCTGCTAAAAATGGCTTTAGAGAAGTGCCAGGGTGAACCCAGAGGGTTCCAGAGCTCTTTGAAACCTTCCCGTTGTCCTGAGTGGTTTGAGTCAAACTCAAGTGAAGAAGCTGGGGTGGGGTGGGAAGTGAAGCAAACTTAGTGTGAGTTGAAGAGCTCTACCAGGTTAACCTTCCTTTGCCTTGTACTGCTTTTATGTTTTCGTTCGTTTGCTTTCCCCTCTGGTACTTGGAATTGGGACTCTTCCATGAATAGATTTGCTCAAGCAGTGTCTGTAAACAGGCTCATTCCCTGCTTGGGCAGAAGATCCTGCAGGGAAAGGGCCATGGGCAGGCTGTGTTTCTCTCCCCAGTTTTGGAGGACAAACTTTTCCCTCCTTAGGACATCCAGTTGTGGTTTGGAAGGTATTGATAGCTTCATGGTGTTTCCCAGCTGCTCTGAAGTGCCTGTTTCCTATAGACCTGAAGTAATAGGTTTCTTTAGCTGTTGGTTGAGTTCCAGTGTTACATGTATTGTGGATCGTGTTCGGAACCAAAATCCTACAGCTTGCAGGAGGCTGACACTGTGATTTAATAGAGTGATGGCTGTTGTAATGGGAAGAACTTATTCTGAACCGCTTCCTTGCAGGATCAACGTGGGTTGCTGAAAATCACCTTCAGCTGGGGGGTTAGGTGGTGTTCCTTTGCTGAGGAGGGACAGGCCCAACTCTCTTGAGCTTCTTTGATGTTCCAACAGCCGTGGGGATGACTTATACATGGGAATGACTTGTCCAAAGTGATCCTTGCTGGGGTTTGGCTGTCGAGCTTCCTGTACTTTCCGCGTTGATGGTTCTGGTCCCTTGGTAGCTCCAGGGGCTGTCCTTTCACTGGGCAGCAACTGGGAAACAACCAAAGCAATGCAGAGCTATGGAGAGGAGGGGAGGGTGGGGAGCTCTGGGTGTGAGAGCCGTGATGACAGCGGGGAAGGAAGAGGCTCCAGATGATGTAACCTCTGTGGGGAGGAGAGTACTACAACTGAAGTTTAAGACCTGAGAGTAGCAGTGAAGCAATAGCCCCTGGTGCTGCAGCCTGGATGGGGAGGTACTGAGGCAGGTGTGAAGTTCAGGCTGTGTTACCCAGGTGAGCTCCACAAAGGAGTTACTTCAATAACCAAACTCCTCTCTTGTGCTGGAAACTCCTAAATCCAATGGAAAAAGAGAGATTTGAAGGCCATTAACCCACAGCCTTCACCAGGTAACAAAATGAAGCATGCTGGCAACACATAGACCTTGTGGAGGCGAGTGTGTTGGCAGTGTTAGGAGCAGCCTTAACCTGGGGACTGGCAGCGTGGGCAGACTTTGACCCAAGGACTCTGTGGGCAGGAGATAAGAGCCACCAGACAGTGGCTTGCAGCTTTAGAGTTCTGTTACTGCCATGCCTGGATCTCCTTAATTCCATTCTGGGATAGTTGTGTTAGCAGGGAGAACTTCTCAACACCACCAAAACTGCTGGGTTTGCTGCTGTACCTTATTCCAGCCCTTCTAAGTTAAAATAAGCTGCCTTGGCGTGAGCATTCCTTGAAGGAACAGGCCAGAACTTCTCTCTGTGTTGCTTTGAGTGCTGCATCTCACTGTAGACCCATAGATGTGACCGTGACAAGGAGCCTGGGGTATTGTCACAGCTTGGTGCTCTAGCCTTGTGAAAAGGAGTTCTTCCCATAGGAACACAGCTGAGGCTCAGAAACACTCTGTTAAATCACTCAGCAGTCTGTAGATCCTCAGCTTCAGAGTGATGTTTATAGATGGGATCAGAATGGGGGAAGGCAAGTAGCCTAACACAGAACCCTGCAATGGGCCTTGGTGTCCCAGTGAAACACAACACAAAGCACTTGGGTTCATATCCCCAAGTGTGGAAGCTCTTCTGAGGCAAGCCTGGAAGTTGCCAGTGTGACAGGGAAGGGTCTGCTCTAAGGAGAGGAATGAGATGTGCTCAAGTTCTTTGCCCGCATCAGATGAGCATCCTCCAGCAGGGCCCAAAGCTCACAGCATTTCCACCCTCAGGAGGACATAAAGCAACATTATCCAAGCACCATGAGACATTAGCAGGGTTACTCTTTAACTCTCTATAGTTTTCTTGTCTTAGATTTTCTTCAAGTTGATTTTTGCTTTTGATATAGTTCTGGTGTGGCCTCGCCAAAGGCTGGGTCCTGGTGTGACGTCCTTTGGCAGATCCCTTGTTGAACATCCTAGTGCTTCATGCTGAGCTAAGGGGATGGTCTTACTTTCGTTGTATTTGGGTAAAAGAACGTGACTTATTTCCTATTCAAAGCCTTCCAAAACTGGGAAGTTGAAAGTAATTCTAAGCTCTGTTAAACTCTTCCTGCTTTGACTCTGCCCATCAGTGGATGTACCAGGGTGACCACAGCAGCTTCTCATGATAAAGTTAGGGGGGGTTTTAAGTACCCAGAAGAAAAAGAAGATTGAACCTGCTTTCAGTAACAATAGAAGCAGCCTCGGGTGCAGTTTGTTGCTAGGGTGAGAAATGTGTTGTTTGCTCTTCAGGCTGACAGACCTAAAGCACAAGTAGTGGGTGAGGAGGACAAACAGTGCCGCTTCCTCTTCCTGGAGCTGGTGGTTTTGTGTGTTGGTCTTGGTACACAGCCCTGCTCCGGGTGCTCCTCCCCTGAGCAGCATCGCTTCTGGGGTGGGTTTGGGGTTACTGCACTCAGTGAATTTTGCTGTCGTGCTGTCAAGTTGTTCCCTTGGTCGCTTAATTCCAGCACCAAAGGGGCCTCTGTGATTGTAAAGATGAGCACAGACATCAGTGTAACCCCCAGTGTGAAGCTCATCCTCGTTGCTCTCATGACTTCAGTTTCCTTTTGCAGCCCCGGAGGAGGGAAATGCTCTCAGTGTTTTGAAAACCATTAGGTAAGGCATTGAGATGAGGTGAGAATTGAATGTGGGCAGGGTTAGATGGAGCTTCTTATAATGAGAAGTATCTGTGGGATGTGTTAATGTAGCTTCAAGCCCCGACCAGAAGGGCACAATAACCCTCCTTTGTGCCCACACAAGGACAGGATAAATATCACCAGGCTGTGTTTGCTTTGGAAGGGATAAACTGACCTTGTCTGCAAGCAAACCATTGGTTCTTACCTGAAGTTCAGGTCACTCGTTATTGAACATTGGGATTATTTAGGTGACTGCAAACACCTTTGCTGAGCCAGTAATTGAGGTTTGGAAATCGAACTTGGGTTTCATCTGATTGTCATGTTTTAATAGGCAATGCAAAATGGCAAGTGTGTGTGTGTGAGACAGCTCTCTCAGCTGTAACCTGCATCAGTGATTCCAAACCTCAGGTTTGGAGATGGTTTGATGCTGAGGCTGTTTCCTTCAGATCCATGTAGTGTTGAAGCCCTAAAGGTTTAACGTTTGGGCTCCAGCCAGCCTGAGGGCTGCTCATCCGGTTGTAGCTTTGGCAAGGAGGTGGGGAGGAAGGGAAGAGGTTTCCGTTGTTTGAGTGGTCTCTGGGTGGGTTTTTGGCCTTGTCCAGTTTGCAGTGACTGTGGTGTCAAGAGAACTTGGTATCTTCTGTGTGCTTTGTGCTTCCCTGCACCAAGCTGGAAGGGCTTCAGGGAGCAGCTGGAATTCCAGCCCTGCTGTTGTGGCTTTGTAACGCTTGGGCTCCTAGATCTGTAAGCACTTGGAGGTGCTTAGAACATTTCTTCAGATGTCTTGGGAAGGAAGAAAGTGGTCATTAGAAAAGCTGCTCCGCAGAGATGCGTGAAGGGGGCTTAGAAGGATGCTGGAGATGGGCTCTTCGTCAGGGACTGTAGCGATGGGACAAGGGGTGATGGGTTCAGACTGAAACAGGGGGAGTTCAGATTAGATAAAAGGAAGAAGTTCTTTAGTGTGAGGGTGCTGAGGTGCTGGCACAGGGTGCCCAGAGAAGTGGTGAATGCTCCATCCCTTGTAGCGTTCAAGGCCAGATTGGATGACATGGTCTAGATTGAGGCATCCCTGTCCATGGCAGGGGGGTTGGAAGTGGATGATCCTAAGGTCCTTTCCAACCCAGACCGTTCTGTGATTCAGTAGTACTCCGTAAATCCACAACAGGGTGCTGCTGAATGAAAGGGTTGGGAATGGGTCTTAAATCTCAGCAATTTGCTTAATTATTAGCTTATGATTCACACCGCTTTCTCCTTTCCCTTTTCCCGCCTGTAGGCCCTATGAGAAGAAGGGAAAGCTAAGGATGCTGGAGCAGAACAATGGATTTCTCTTTCTCTTTCATGCAAGGGATCATGGGAAACACAATTCAGCAACCACCTCAACTCATTGACTCCGCCAACATCCGCCAAGAGGACGCCTTCGATGGCAGCAGCGACATTGCCGAAGATGCTGGGCAGACGCCCTACGAGGCGGCGCTGCAGCAGGGCTTCCCTTACCCTGCACCCGCAGCCGAGGAGCTCCCCCCCCTCACCAACGGCTACCCCCCGACCATCAACATGTACGAGCCTCAAGCCAAATACCAGGCGTACCCCCAGTACCCCAATGGTTCAGCCAACGGGTTCGGTACCGTCAGGAACTTCAGCCCCCCCGAGTATTTCCAGCTGGACCACTCGAGCGCACGGCCGCACGATGCGGTGGAGAAACCTTCTCCTCCACAGCCACCGCCTCCACCACCACCACCACCACCACCACCTTCGGTCCCAGCGGCGGTGATTCCAAAGAAGACTGGCTCACCAGAGATCAAACTAAAAATAACCAAAACTATCCAGAACGGCAGGGAATTGTTTGAGTCCTCTCTCTGTGGGGACCTTTTAAATGAAGTACAAGCGAGTGAGTATGCTAAGGCGAAACATGAAGGGAGGAAAGAGAAAAGGAAAAAGAGTAGCAAGCATGACTCTTCCCGCTCGGAAGAGCGCAAGTCACACAAAATCCCCAAGTTAGAACCAGAGGAGCAAAATGTAAGTGGAATCAGAGTTTCAGCCATCTGTATACCTGGTACTGTTGATGGAGTAATGCGTCTTGGGCACTGTTTCTCCTTACTCTTAGTTGTATTACCTCTGTAAAGCCATGGGGCTTTATTGTTAGATGCTCATCTTGCCAGAACCTGTATTTCTAGGACAGTTTTGGTTAAAAGGCTGTATATGACATAATGGATGCTAGAAAAGGTTGTATCGTGGGGTTTAAATCCTATTTAGTGTTTTAGCACGCTTGCTGTGCTTTGGGGAGCGGTGAAGGTGGAGCTTTGGGCCCAAAGCACACAGGCTGCTGGGTTACTCGCTGGAAGGAGCGTTCAGCATTGCAGCTTTGAATGAGTTTCTGAAAGGTAACTCTAAATGCCATGATTATGTATGAAACCCAATAGCTCTGAAGCATGTGTAGAAACCAGTATAAACCAGTGGGCAAAGCAAATGCCAGTTGACTCGGTAAACTTTGAGAGGTTTCACTCTTGATACCTGTTACTGCAGTGTGGTTGCACAAGGGGTGTTGTCTGGAAGTGGTGGTTTAACTGATTCCAGGAAGCAAAGTCCTGGTACTCTCGGCCATTGTTTTCCTTTCAGTTTTAGAAGCCACTTCATTACTTGGGCTTCCTTTTGTCTTGCTTATTCCTGCCAATCTGGGATGCTGGATTCTGTATTTCCCAGTGGAGAGGGGTGTCAGGGATAGGGAAGTTCCATATCAGGCCATGCCAGCTCACAGAACTTGTATCACCCTGTGATAGCTGCTGCTTCTGGTAGGTGTGGGAACCCATCCTGGCCTATGGGGATCAAGGCTCTGATCTGCTTACAGCAGGGTCATGCACTTGATGTGGTGGTCATGTTTTTAATGGAATGCACTCTGATTTCACACTCACACCACTGTTTGCAGCCTCTTCTCCCAAGTAACAAGGGATGGGACAAGAGGAGACGGCCTCAAGCTGCACTAGGGCAGGTTCAGACTGGATATGGGGAGAAATTCCTCCACCAAAAGGGTTGTCAAGCACCAGAACAAGCTGCCCAGGGCAGTGGTGGAGTCACCATCACTGGAGGGATTTAACACACGTGTAGATGTGGGGTGGGCTTAGCAGTGCTGGGTTCATGGTTGGACTTGATCTTAAGGGCCTTTTCCAACCTAAATGATTCTGAACTAAAGCCTTGTCCCTCAAATCCCAAGTTCCTACTCCTATGTGCCATGCAGGATTCACCAGAACTCTTAGTCTTGCTTTTGTCCCCCCTTGGAGCTTCCATTTCCCTTTCAGAAGGTGGTGTTGCAGCGAGATCTTTGATGTTACTCATCCTCGTTGCAGACAGCAGATCACCGCCACGAGCAGGACTTTGTGCTGATGCTTTGCATTGCGAGTTACCCAGCACAGTCTCGGCTGCACCCTCCCACCTTTTGGCTCTCCAGTGTACAACTTCCCCTTCAGCATGCACACTTTTGTCATATTTAGTATTGATGAGATGAGACTTGTAACTTAGGATCATCTTAATGGGAGCAAAACCCAGCTTCAGGGACAACTTTGGTTGTTTTACCCTTCTCTACTCAGCATGGCTGTTCCCAGGTAAGGTTGTCTCCTCCTTCTGCCATTGACTGTGTGGGAATGCTCACACTTGAAAGGCTGATTTGAAATGAAAATGTTATGAAGACATTAATGGACTTCAAGCTCTGAATCCTTGTTTTAAGAACAAGCTCACTGGTGGTGTTCTGGGAGGAACTGATGCTTGCAACTTGCGTGGGGGAAGCTTCCACTAGAGCAAGAAAGGCAGGGGTCACTGCTGTGCTTCCTGCTGCACCAGGGAGGAAGGAATTCTGCCTGGGGTACACTCATATGATTGCTTTTAACTGCTCCTTCTCTCCAGACAGCTCTGAATGAGGTGCTGACCATCATTACTGTAGATGATACTTGTGTTTCCTAGTTTCTCTGAGCTGAAGCATGCTGCTTCCACTAACCTGGGGGCTCTGTTTTCAATGGACTAGTCCTAACTGGGACTCCCAGTATAAGTGGTTTCTCACTGCCTGTGTCTGACTCCTCTTTTGGCTGCTCTTTGAGTCCTTTGACTGTTGACAAAGCAAAAGTCAGCTCCCTGGCTCAGTAGATAGTTCATGTCCCACCTCTTTATCTTGCTCGGCCGTGGGTCACCACGCTCCCTATCACTGCTGCTCCACCAAGGTGCTGGCTTCCGCTCACGGTGATCCCTCTTTCATCACGACCTTTTCCTGGTTGTGGGGTTTCCGTTGTTGACTTTTGATCCCACAAAGAACATTTGCCAACTCTGTGTGATTTACCATGGATTTTACGGGTTTTGTGCTGTGTATTTCATGTGATTTTTGTACTGTAGCTGTTGCAAAGAGCTCGCAGCCCTGGGGGTATCCTCCATATGCTCGTCTCTTTCTTTGACATTGACTATTAATATAGGGGGGCTTACTGGCCCACAGTATGTTCTTCCATCACCTGTTACGGGGGTGTGTGGGTGTAATGTGAATAGTGTAGGAAGAAAGGTCATTTTTGATTGATGCTACTCTGGTTTGGGTTGGCCAGAAGGAGCCGTCACGTTCCTGTTTGCTGGCTTCATGGCTGCCTTTCTCTCCGTGACTTACTGTTTTGGCCTGGTTTCATGATGAGCTTTGTGTGGTTTCCTGGCCCCTTACCTTGTTTGTGTTTGTTTCCCTTTTTCTCTTCGTTGTTACCCATTTCCTAGAGACCAAATGAGAGGCTTAGCATGCTGCCAGAAAGACCCAGAGAAGATGCAGTGTTGGAGGAGACCCCGGTTAGTACCTCCACTCATCACCACTTCATCACCACTTCTCCAACTTCTATTTTGGGACTGATGACAGGCCTTTAATTTGTCAGATAAAGCAGTTGCCGTCTCTTTGAACCTCCTGTTAATCATGACTGCATCAAAACATCTCTCATCCTGTGCTTATTGCTTTATTTTATCCCCAAAACAACGTTCTTAATTGACTTCTGAAGCTTTTTATGGGGTGGTGGCAGGGGGTTGCTGTGGGTGTCTTGGTTTGTCAGTGACTATCTCCTGCCTCAAAGGAATGGTTCTCTGCTGTTAGGTTATCAAACCTCAGGGATACCTAAGAGAAGGGTCCATGTTCCTGTGCTTCTTTGTGCATTGAGTTGTCTTCTGTGGCTTCAAGCTTGCCTTTTCTTTGTAGGTCCAGCAGTTCTTACCTTCTCTTCCAACACAAGGCCCCCATGACATCAAGTTTCAGGTTGGCGATCTGGTTTGGTCCAAGGTGGGAACATACCCGTGGTGGCCTTGCATGGTTTCGTGTGATCCGCAGCTCGATGTTCATACCAAAATCAATACAAGAGGTAAGGAAGGAGGGTCTTTGGCACAGCGTAGCAGGTGTCTGTGGTTCCTTTATTCCAAACATCTTGAGCTCCTGTGTGGGATGAGTTCTGCTGTGTGCATGCTGAGCTGAATATACTTGAGATGGCTAAAGCTGGAATCTGTTGGATTACTTCTGCAGGTGAGCCTGTGCAAACTAGGCTTGTGCACAGGTATTCTTGTTTTTCACTAGGCAATGTATTTATGAGGAGACACTGAGGAGTGTGAGAGTGTTCAGTGTGGGCAAGATACGCTTCACATCATCTAGGCTTATCTTACTTCTAAACGTCAGCCAGGTGCTTCCACCTGCAGGCATGAGTGATGTGGAGAAGGAAGGCATAAGCGAACAGTTCTTACTACAAGAGGGACACTGAGGTGCTTTAGCAGGGCCAGAGAAGGGCACCGGAGCTGGTGCAGGGCCTGGAGCACAAGTGTGATGGGGAACAGCTGAGGAACCTGGGGGGGTTCAGTCTGGAGAAGAGAAGGCTCAGGGGGGACCTGATCACTGCCTACAAGTGCCTGACAGGAGGATGGAGCAAGGAGGGGCTGGGCTCTGCTCCCAAGGGATGGGACAAGAGGAAACGGCCTCAAGCTGCCCCAGGGCAGGTTTAGATGGAGCTGAGGAACAATTCCTTCCCCAGAGGATGCTCAGGCATTGGAACAGGCTGCCCAGGGCAGGGCTGCAGGCACCGTCCCTGCAGGTGTTCACACACCCTCGGTGCCACAGGTGAGTGGTGGCCTTGGCAGTGCTGGGGAGCAGTTGGACTTGATTTAAAGCTCTTTTCCAACCTGGTTCATTCTGTGATGGTGCTAAAAGTGCTGACAAGCATTTCTCATTCCCAGGTGCCCGGGAATACCACGTCCAGTTCTTCAGCAACCAGCCAGAGCGGGCGTGGGTGCACGAGAAGCGGGTTCGGGAGTACAAAGGCCACAAGCAGTATGAGCAGTTACTGGCTGAGGCTGCTAAACAGGCCAGCAACCACTCCGAGAAGCAGAAGGTACGATGAGCATCCTTTGTGCAGAGGGTTACCTGCAGTGTCTGTTAGGGAAACCCCTGTGGGGCAGTCACTGTATAGGCAAGGCAGAAAGTTGATGTGGAAGGAAAAGAGCGTTTATAGGGAAATAAGGAGGATTTAAAAGTAGATAAATGAGGATTAATTCTGTCTCGTCTAACAGGCTTGAATACTGCCTGTTCTTTAGTGAAGCTGTAACTTGGGGCAAGCACTTTTAATTGGGATGATCATAACAATCCAGCTCGAGTGTCTGTACTCTGAGCAGGGGATTCACTGTCTACCTTTATACCCTCTAAATGAAAAGGGAACTTACAGCTGCTACCTGAGGGGTGTGGAGAACCTCAGGACTGCATTTTAAGTGCTGTCTGTGGCCCAGTCTTCAGCGTAATGAGCTGCTTGTCTTTGTTCCTTAAGATTCGCAAACCAAGGCCGCAAAGGGAGCGTGCTCAGTGGGATATTGGGATTGCCCATGCTGAGAAAGCCTTGAAAATGACTCGGGAAGAAAGGATAGAACAATACACCTTCATTTATATAGACAAAGAGCCAGAGGAGGCTTTGTCAAAAGCCAAAAAGACTGCTGCTGCTAAATCAGAGACCAAGAAGAACCGGCGACCCAAGCCAGCGCTGAGCACCCAGCCTGACCCTGCCACTGGGGCAGCAGCATCGCCTTCGAGCGCTGAGGGACGGAGGCAAAGCCAGCGGAGGCAGTCGAGCGTGGAGGAAGAGGAGGCTCCTCCAGTGAAAATCGCCTGGAAAACGGCTGCAGCCAGGAAATCCTTACCAGCTTCCATCACCATGCACAACCTGGACCTCCAAAAGTGTAACATGTCTCCAGTTGTTAAAATTGAACAGGTTTTTGCCCTTCAGAATGCTGCTGGGGATGGAAAGCTCATCGATCAGTTTGTTTATTCCACTAAGGTATGTACTTTGGGTAGCAACTCCTCTTCTGTTCGTGAATGACCCCGAGTCTGTCTCATTGTGGAGCTTAAACCTCAAAGGTTTTGCTGTACATGTTCCTTTCATTGGAGGGGTTACATCTGGCAACAGATGTGACAACAGCATCTTGTAGTGCATGAACTCTTCATTCCAGTGCATCCAAACGTTGCTGGGAGTAACTGTTCTGGCCAGTGGCAGCTCCCTACAGATGGTCACATCTTTGCTCATAACACATTCAAAAGCTGTGGAACTCCAGTAATTCTCTATAAACCTTAAACCAGTGGATATGTGGGAAACAAAACTGTTCATAATGTACTAAAAAAAAGCAATAACTACATTTTGTATAACTGACTTCTAAATGAGTTCTGCCTCCTGGCTTCCTTCAGGTGCACAGCAGCTCCTCACAGTCAGTGTAAGGAAAAGGTTTAGGACTGTTTCTCTGCCTCCTCCTTCTGCCTCTCTCCCTGGAGGGTATTTATTTCATCCTAAGCATTATAGAGAAGGTAATGTTTAGAAAAGTCGCTGGATTCTTTGTTCTCTTGTATGGAAGGGGAGATTGAGGGATGGAAGCTCTGCAGGGAAAGCAGCTCAGTGGTAGACACCGTCACGTGTATGGGTTGAATACACCCATACACATTCTGAGACTTAGGAGTGGGTCAGTGTGCCTGTGAGCAGCAGTAAGTGCAGAAACGGGCTGAGACGATCTCTTCTCTTCTTTCTCTTTTCAAGGGAGTTGGGAACAAACCTGAAATAAGTGTCAAGGGGCAAGAGAAGCTGAACTCTTCATCAGGTCAGAGAAATGAGAAAGCAGCGGTGCAGAGCGCGTCCTCTCCCGAAACAACTTCGGGCTCCACAGGTAGGCAGAGCTGCAGCATCCTCGAGCACTCTTATTATGTCGGTTCAGACAGCGACCCTGGCATTTCACAGGAGTTAATAATGATTATTAACATCTCTCTGTTTAATAGTTGTGACAGGCGTGGCTGATGCAGCACACGGGGAGCCCAGGTGATCCCAGAAAACACGGGATGCCGCTGGGGTGGGATTCACTGGGATTTGAACTTCTGGTGTCCGCAGCTCACGGTCAACTATTTAGGGGGATGGATGCCTTGCGGAGGTGGTTTAGAAGACAATGTAGTGGCTGTGTGTGAACGGAGTGTTGTGATGGCTTTTTGGCACCAAATGGGACATTACAGCAGCTGGGATCAAAGGAGGAGACTCTGGAAGTGGCGTAGTTGAGTAAGGACGGCTCCGAAGCGGGATGGGGACGTTGCTAGACTTTGAGTTCCTGCCTCTGTAAAGGAAAGTGACTGTTTTAAACTGCTTCAGCTAACTCCATCAGCAAAATGAGATGATCTTTGCCTTGTGAAGGCGGTTAGGGGCCCAGCATAAAGCACCAAGTCATGTCTGAGGGCGAGCCACCCCTGAAGCTTATAATGGAGCTTGAGACTGAAAAGGGAACGCCTGGAACAAGCTATTTGAAGTTTAATTTGTAGTACGGTGGTGGAGAAGAAGGGGAAAGATAAATGGGATGAGTGCTCTCTGGGCTTGGAACAGGAAACCAGTGTTTTTAATGTTTGATCTTGAGCAATAGCTAATGGGAATGCTTCCAAAGGGATTGAGCTTTTCCCTACCAGCAGACATTTGTCTGCAGTGTCCTCTCATCATCCCCATGAGGAGCTGGATGCCCTTTGGTGAAGGGATGGAGGTTCCTCAAAAGGCACTGTTTCGAGTCATCTTAAACCAAGAGCTTTTCAAGTTCCTCCAGTCTTTACAGTGACTTCTGTTTTCCAACCACAGATGTTGTCCGGGCCGTGTGAAATCCCCATTAACTACTGCACCTTTGGTACCGAGCTTGCAATCCTGTGCTTGCTATAGCCTCAGACACGCTTAGTTTTACTTTGGGTATGGAAAAGTAAAGTTGAGGTTGCAGCAGAGCACTGGGGTTTTCTCTCATCTCACAGAATGTACGGATGCTCCTGGGGTGGAAGCAGAAAAAGGTGGAAAACTTCTTAGAATACACAGAAAACCCCTCAAACCTTTTCCTCTTGACCTTTGCCAAACGTCAGCTCTGCTTTATCCATTTGTTTGGTTACTTCTCCTTTCCCAAACAGAACGTAAATGAGATTCCAAGCCAGAAACCTCAGCAATCAATGTAAGTGAGGTCCCTGGCCTCTGCCACCACGCTTCAGTGTCTGTACTTGTGCAGCGTTAGGTAGGCTGGAAAGCTTAGTTACAAAGATGCTCCTGAGGCCTAAAAATGCTCATCCCATTGAGCAAGGTGAATTTTCATGGGGTTTTTTCCTAAAGGCTTCTTGCAGCATCTGTTTTAAAGCCTCTCTCTCTCTAGAGCTTGCATCTCCTAACAAGAAGACGCAGGTTTACAACCTCTAACAGGGTATCTGTCAGCACAGGGAGCTAATTCCCAGCCCCAGGAGTTTGTGGTTTTGTTTGGAAGGACACAAAGTATTGTCCATTCACGTCTTCTTTAGGTGAAACACCCAAACTGAAAGCCCAGGTCATGCTCCCCAGCAGATCACTGTAGATCTTCAGATCCCAGTTTTCCATCAGTGCAGCTCTGAGCCTGTGCTTGGTTCTATGCTGTGTCCATGTTTCTCTGTGTACCCTTTGTGGAGATCCTGTAGCATAGAAAGGTCTTCTGGTTTCACCAAGCTTAGTAGCTCCTACTCCATCTCTTGAGCTATGCCGTTAATCTGAGCTTGATTCCTGTAGCAGTATCTCCAAAGACATGGTTTGTACTTTAATGACGATACCACGCCATGATCACTGCTTCTGCTTGTGCTGAGCTTTCCCTCACCCCTCAGTCTTTAGCTGAGCCTTCAGGTCTCATTGACAGCACATGTTACAGCGTGGTTCTTCCTTCCTGTTCTTGTGCCAGCCAGCGGAGCAGTTGCACAGAGCTGGAGCTGGGCTTTGCATCTTCACTTTGGAGCTCGGTTCAGCTCAAGGAGTTGGGTGGTGAGACCTTCCCATCAACACCAAACATGGACCATTTGGTTACAGATAAGCCAAAGCAAAGACTGTGCTGGAGGTGCTGTTTGCCCCCAACTGATTCCAGCTTTTTGTTTCGCTCCGTTACTGGTGTCTCTTCTCGGAAGCTCATCTCCCTGTCTCTGGAATCGGAAGGTGTTGTCTGCAGCCACAGCACCAGCTGGCAAAGAGCTTGGAACTGAATGTAAAAATAAAGCCTTCAAAAGAGGAACAAGTCTTGGTTTCGTTACTTTCTCGGTTGGGTTGGTGTGGAGCAGCTCGCTGTGCCTCGGGAATGCAAGGAGTTGTGTAATGGAGACCTTTTTCCTTCTTCAGGTTCTGTAGAAAAGAAGCAACAGAGAAGATCGATTCGAACGCGCTCAGAGTCTGAGAAATCCACCGAAGTTGTGCCAAAGAAGAAGATCAAAAAGGAGCAGGTTGGCTTCCTCCATGTAGAGAGTTAAAATATATTGTATTCATAAATGTTGTGGCTTATATTGGTGCCTTTTCATTTTTCTCCATTTTTCCCCCATCGGGTTTCGTTTTGGACTATCCTCCATGAAATCCCCTTGTCAATACCATTGCTGTGACTCTGCTACTGGCATCTTACAGTATCAGTCAGGCTATGGAAATGGGAACTCACTGATGCAAGACTCCTAAGAACCTGCCATGTTTCCTTTGCGATTCCTGTCCTGAGCAAAAAAATGGTTTGGTTTCAGTAATTTCTCTTTGATGGAATTGCCACCAGGTTCCTTCCTTTTGCTCTCGGTTCAGCTGCTGGTTTGTATTGAGGTTTTGTTTTTCCAATGAAGTTAGCCTGATTTAATCTGATCGCTTTTGAGAATGGACTTTTAGGAATGATTTCACTTAAAAGATGAATAGTCAGACTTTTCATGTTGGCAGACATCAGCAAAACACATCTCCTGGGATATACGTTTCCTTTCCTTAAGTAGATCTCACATGTACAGGGCATTCCTTTAATCCGGATGTCAGACAGACAAATGTTGTTGCTTTCAAAACTACCATACAATTCTGCCTGGAATGAGCAGGGAAGTTCAGTGGATGGACGTTGCTCTTAAAACCAGAACACCCGTTTCAAACACGTTGCTCAAAGTTGTTGGTTCTTTTCCTTCCGTGGTTGATTCTCCTTCTCCAAGGGCCTCTCCGCTTGAAACCTGGGAATTTGGGATCCAGCTGTTTGATAGTAGAACTTTTATCAGTGAGACCTTTACAAAAGGGACAGTCAGGCTAAAGATTTATATGGGAAGGGGGGGGGGGAATGATCTTTATCTCTTTAATTTATTCTTTGCCCTTTGTTTTGCACTTCATTCACTTCCAAGATTGAAAGTGGACCCAGTTTTTCCTCTCTTTTTCCATACGTTCTTTTGGTGCCATAGCGCTTCCCATGTGTGTTCAGCAGAAGAATGCTCCAGCTCGAGACAGTTTCTAGCTGAAACTTGGAAGCAGCTTCACCATTGGGCATGAGACACCCAATGTAGCCCCATGAGCCTCCTAGGGGGGTGCCTCGGCCTCCCTCCCATCACATGAGTTTTTATGTGTGTAAGCGTTTCTTAAGTTAACAAAGGTAGAAGAACCAACAATATGAACTTCATGGGTCCCCGTTAGCTCGGTGCGCTCCTCTTCCCCAGCTAACTAAGACTATGACCATTAAAGTGCTTTTCTCAGGAAAAGTATATGACTAAAAGTTAAACCCAGATGCACTGTAATGCGCATAACTTTGAATGTATTAAGTTATATTAAAGAAGAAAGACCTTACTAACTTCTTACAGTTCTGCAACAATATTTGTTACCCAAAGTCAAGTTTCCTTGCAACTGATTCCCAAATTAGTCTGCAACAACTTGGTATAAAATTATAACTGGAACGAGTACAATTAATGGGAAAAACCAAATGTTCATGCTACTGTTACAGTGACCAGTGGAGAAATAAAAGTGATTGTTTAGATTTTATATTTGTATTCCGAAATGTATCCGATACAAATCCTTCTATTGTATGTTTTTACCTTTTATTGTACAACAAAATAAAATATTTTTTAAAAAAAGTAGAGGATAATCCTTAACTATTTCCGAAATGTCTTCCTCCCTGCCCACATAACCCCAGTGTAAAGCAGTAACCTCTAATTCTTAACCTTAAAACCAGGCTTTTAGGCAACAGCTTTCTTCTATAGGTACGATGCAGTCGCCAAATTCTCTCCGTGCTCCATGTTCATTGGCAGAACAGTTTGGAAAGGGGCCCTTCTGCTCTAGGCTCAGAGCTCCAAGTGCTTTGTGAGGTTGTAAACTACGGAGCGGATGCTGGCATTGAGCTGTATAGAGCCCTGCACAGCGCCCTGCGCTTTGGGCTGGGCCTTGCAGTGCTCTATACAGGGCAGGAGCCTGCTCCGGAGCGTGCAGGCTTGCTGGAAGCACCCCAAGATGATGCATTCAGTGCCTCCCTAACCCAGTGAATGCCCATTGAGGGGAACTTGCGCTCACACAGGTCTGGGGTTCTACAGAGCATCAGGGTTTGCTGCCAACAGGAGCCCCGTCCCCACCGCGGACACGGATAAAGCTCTCCTGTCATCTTCATGCCCCAAGGGAGTGATTGGAAAGGCCCTTGCTAGTGACTGTGTCTCTGCCTTGTCTCCCAGCACTCAGCGTAGACAGCTAGGATTAAAGCCAACGGGACGAGAAGGCTCCCAGTGGGAAGGGGATGGCAGCCTGCACCTGAGTTCAGAGATGCTAATCGCTTAAACTGCAATGTTTTCTTTTTGATACTAGGGAGAAAAATTCCTCTGGTTTTAACTCTGGATTTTCCTATTCAAACAGGTTGAAATGGTTCCCCTGACAGCAGTGAAGACAGGATTGCAGAAAGGTGAGTGACAGCCGAAAAAGAAACTCTATTTACACCTCTGGCTCCATCCCACTTGGGCAGTGGGTTTTTGCTCTCTGTAAAGCGCAGAGGTTGGAATGCTTTGTGGTGATGAACTGACGGATGCTGAGCTCTGTTCTCTTGTGAGGGTTTGCTGGGTTGGTTTTTGTTGTGTGTTGCTAGCTGGAAGGATGGTGTTAATGTGGTGTGAGCACATAATTCAAGTACTTAAGAAGAAGTCGTCTTTGCTGAGCTGCATTTGAAAGCTGAACAATGAAGAGGAAGGGTTTATCCTCTGTCATAGACAATGTAGTAGTTGCTCTGCTGAGTCAGCATGTTCAGAAGCTTATCAAAAGGTCTAAGGAGGTTTTCAGTTGTTAGCTCTTCAGGGAGAACCAAAGTACTATCACAATTAAGGCTGCGAATGAAGTCCAAATCCAAGCTTTCATCTTTCCTTTTCCTTTATGAAGCTTAAGAACACAGATTAAAGCTAATCTCAGTGTGTTGTGTTAAGGTGCCAGCGAGATTTCAGATTCTTGCAAGCCTTTGAAGAAGAGGAGTCGAGCCTCAACCGACGTGGAACTGACCAGCTCTGCTTACAGGGACACGTCTGACTCCGACTCCAGGGGACTCAATGACTTACAGGTAAATGCACGTTGTTGCTCATAGGGATTTGCTCATTTCATCTCTCTGCCAGGCGTTTTGGTTGTGTATTCCTGAAGGTATGAACACCGTTTTCTACTCCTTTCATGTCTCTGATTGACTGAAATATAAAGCATGTTCTTTTTCTTTCTAATCCCCTCCATTGCGTTGATGTAAAGGAAGATAGAATCTGTCCTTACAAGTGTTCCTGTTTCTTTGGCAAAGCATGGGGTTAGATCACTGCTTCGGCTTGCTTTTGGGAAGGTTTTTGGGATTCTTTGGGGATGCTGATGGTCTATGGCATAAAACTGGGAAAAGTAGGGCCCCCAATACCTTTATGGTTGGTTGTACAGGTAAAAGCAATGCCAAGAAGGCAGCGCTGCTTGGGTCGCTCCCATGAAGTTCAGCAGCGTTGAGGGACCTCTCTTGATGTATTGAACGGTCTTTTTAATCTGTGGTGACTTAAATGCTCTTTCACAATGGGCTTGTCCTTGGGAAGTGTCTTTTTGAGTGCCTGGGGTTTCTCCTCTCTCTAGGGTAGTTTTGGAAAGCGTTCGGACAGCCCCTCAGCTACTGCGGATGCTGATGCCTCTGATGTGCAGTCAGTGGACTCCAGCCTGTCCAGGAGAGGGACTGGGACAAACAAAAAGGACACTGTTTGTCAGGTAAATGATGGAACTGTAGAGAGCTGATGTACCAAAGCTCTATCATCTGTTTCTATTGGTTTGAGCTGATAAGACTTCACATTACACCACTTTGTTTTAACCATGTCACATAACTCCGTATCTCAGATAAAATATCAAGGCTTTTAGGAGTTTTCATAAGAGGCTAAAAGGCTCAAAAGCTGGAAAGGGCTCTCCAGCCCATTGCTGTAGCATAACTTGATGCCATTTTCTGCCCTATGGTCTTTCCAGGCTGGGACAGAGTGAGAATTTTCCAGTATCTGGGGAGAAAATCCTGGAATCTCCTGGCCAGTTTCCTGGTCACTTGTAAGGGAAGAAGTTGTTCTTGCTGCTCAGGTGCCTGGGTGCTCCTGCTCTGTCCCTCCTAGCTCTGTCCATGTTCACACTGCTACAAGAGCAGGATGCAGCAAGTGCTGGCGTTGCCTTCAGCCCAGTCTGGCCACGTCTTTGTAGGGTGCAGAGCAGTTCTCCCACCTCACCTTAGCTCAGAGGGACTTCAGCCTCTTCCTACTCTTTGTTAAGCCCTGGTAGTCTTACATGGAAGACCTGCTGTTCTCTGCTGAGCTGCTTGTCTGCTTGTTCCAGATCTGTGAGAGCTCCGGCGAGGCTCTGGTGTCCTGCGAGGGCGAGTGTTGCAGTGTCTTCCACATGGAATGTCTTGGCCTGAAGTCGATGCCTGAGGAGAAGTTCATCTGCGCTGAGTGTAAAAATGGTGAGTGTTTGCCCATGGTTGGGAAGTGGGGAGGGAGCTCCCTCTGCTAAGGAGCTGTTCTAGGGTCGGAGATACCAGAGGTGGTGAGTTCCATGGGTTTGGAGGGGGTTTGGTTGCGTTATTCTAATGGGTCCTTTACTGTGAGGGTGCTGAGGTGCTGGCAGTGGTAAATGCTCCATCCCTGGCAGTGTTCAAGGCCAGGCTGGGTGATATGGCCTAGTGTGAGGCATCCCTGCCCATGGCAAGGGGTTGGAACTGGATGATCTTAAGCTCCTTTCCAACCCAAACCATTCTATGGTTCTATGATCCTACCTTTTCAACCTCTGAGGCCAGATTCTCCTTTTCCAGCTGGGAAGAAGAAAAGGCAAGTACCTGGTAAGGGAAAAGAACTGCTTAGAGTTTTACTCAGAATGAGGGACTTCTGTGTTAATAATTTCATCTTTACGTTAGCAGTTGCATCTTTACGTTAGCAGTTGCATCTTCATGTTAGCAATTGCATCTTTACTGTGGATTAGGGCAACTCCAGGGTTTGAAGGGAAGGAGCCCGTGTTGCTTAAACCACTGTTCACAACATCTGTACGGCAAAGAATTGCCCGTTGCAGTTGGGATTGTTCCTTATTCCTTCTCTTCCCAGGAGAACACACGTGCTTCTCCTGCAAGCTCCCTGGCAAGGACGTGAAGCGCTGCTCGGTCAACACGTGTGGCAAGTTCTACCACGAGGCCTGCGTTCGGAAGTTTGCCACGGCTCTCTTTGAGTCCCGGGGCTTCCGCTGCCCGCAGCACTGCTGCACCGCCTGCTCCATGGATAAGGATATTCATAAAGCAAGCAAAGGTGAGAGGGGAAGTGGCTTTGAGCAGCGGGAGGAAGCTCGGACGCATCGTGGTAAAGATGGATGTGACTTTACCCTTAGGAATGCAGTGAGGAATGAGGGTTTCCTTCTTAACATCAGGCTGGCTGGGTGGGAAAGCAGCTCAAGTGGACCTGGATCTGCAGCCCAAGTCGTCTGCTGTTGCTGGGTTCAATGGAAGTGGAGGGTTGGTAGTGCAATGCTGTTAGAACATGCTTGGGAGTGGCTTTTATAACGACTCATCTTCCAGAGACAGAGAATCCTTGTAGAAATTAACCCCAAATACTTCAAAACAGGCTCTAGAATGACTAAAACCATGTGTTTTTTTTCTTAACAGAGATTTAAAGTTGAGTTAACTTTGTGAAGCTTTTAAAGATGTAAATGTTTCCTTTCAATCCAGTCCTTCTGGGTGGAATCAAATCAGCCTTGCAGCTGTCTGGTGTCTTCTGCCATAGCCTGACTCGAGGGTGACACGGTGCATTTCTCTGTATTAAACAGGTCGCATGGTGAGATGTTTCAGATGTCCCATTGCCTATCACTCAGGAGATGGCTGTATTGCTGCAGGAAGCTTGTTTGTGTCATCCCACATTCTCATCTGTAGTAACCATTCCAAAAGGAATCACTCCTCATCAGCTGTAAATGTAGGCTTTTGTTTCGTTTGTGCAAGAGGTGAGCACACTTGTTTTCTTTCCCCTCCCCTGTTTTATAGTTTTGTGGTCACTTTGGGCAGTTTAGTGATAAAAAGAATGTGTTTCCTAAAACCCCCTTCCCACAGGATGCTCTGGGGTTCCAATGCTGCCTGGAATTGTCTCTTTGTTGCTCAGCCCTTCTCATGAGCCTTCACTTGCTGATATTTGCTGGTCAGAAGCAGTGGGAGCTCCTCAGGAGCCTGCTTGTTTTGCCAGTAGGAAAGAGTGGATGGGAAGCCCCCAGTTGCAGCCGTTGCATGCTGAGGATGGATGCTGTGTGGTCACTCACTGTCTGTTGGGCAAAAGGGGGTCCTTTTACCACTCCCAAACTGAAACCCGTTTAAATTAAGGGTATAAGGTAGGGTTTCCTCATGCTAGAACAAAAATCATCTCAGTTTATAACTTACCATCACATTTGAGCACTCTGAAAGGAGAACATTTGCAGCGCTGCATGAGCAGGTTTCATGCTAGAGTTTTCCATATGCCAAAATTCTCTCTTTTTTTTTTATTTGACTTTTCTTTTTCCCTTTTTTCCTCTTTATTTTTGACCCACTTGTTACTTCCATGGCTCTGAAGTCACCACTCTTCTGCAGGGAGCAGGTTGAGAGGTTTGAATTGCAATGGCTCCTGTACAGTACTGCAGGGGTTTGTTGGCTGCATTCTTCTCAGCAGCTTTGAAAAGTCACTGATAAGGAAGTGAAAAGGAGATGGATCCTGAAGATCTGGGTTTCACTTGTGTTCAGTCACTTGGAGGGTTAGGATGGGACAGAGTGCCTTGAGTTTGCAAGAGCAGATAGTAATGGAGATCTTTGGATCGGAAGGAAAAGGTGGTGCCAGAATAATTCCCTTTCTCCCTCCTTTCTTCCCCTTTCCTCATTTCCAAGTAATTTAGGAGCCATTATTTTAAATATATCTGAATAATCCAGAAGCTAAGAGAGAAACAGGAAGTTACAGAATGAGGAAAAGCTCCTCTGAATGTATAAAAGGTTGGTGACAACACAGTTCAGTGTTCCTCCTTTTGTGGGCTTATTCAAACATCTGGGGCTCACCCCAAAGCAGGATGTGCAGGAATGGGAATTGCCCCAGCACTGCATAAAGGTACACGTGCAGAGTTGGTGGTGCGTCTGTCTTTATGGCCTTTGGTTTTAGGTTTGAGGTAGCTTTATATCTGGTGTGTGTTTAACTTTGGTTGGTGGTATTGTTACACCTACAAAATGCCCAGGCTGAATCACTGTCTGGAGTCAGTGTGGTACCAGGATCAGATATAGGTTTATGACAGAAGACTTTCTGTGCCTGGTTTGAATATCAGCTTAGAAATGTCTCTTGGCAAGGTCCAGCATGGCTTTAGTCTGCCCCTGGCAGTATGAACAGGGGGGTGATGTCTTGTCCTGCTGCTCTGCTCCTACACCAGGTAGGTCGTGGGGTCTCGGCTGACGCGGGTGTCGCTGGTCTCAGTTATGAAGCTGTGTTAGCACCAAGGTGTGAATGCAGAGCAATGGCAGGCTTCTGCCACTGGGCTTAGCATAAATAGTGTGTTTTCTACCAATTTCAAAGCACTGTGAAGCTGTAGTACCAAAATCCATTGCATGATACTAACCAGCTAAATACATCTCTTTGAGGTTGTGCTTTATTACATCTACTAGAGATGCCAGAAGCCAACTTGAGATCCAAACACTAAAGAGGAACCTGCTTAGATTATACATCTGCAGTACTTTGTTACAGATACATCTGAAGGGGGAATCTTCTGGGGGACTTTTGCTCCAAGTTTTGGCTGCTTACTCTGTGACACAAAGGTGTAAAATCAGTGCCTCCTACTTCTCTTCAGTAGAACCTATTGAAAAGCTTTATGGAGTACCTGCTGTTTGGCCACCTTATATAGATAGATATAGATTGATATCTGACTCAGGAATCAGAATGCAGGAGTAGAATTCCAAAGCTCAGGTACAGTAAAGGAGTCTTACACTTGCTGAAGATGCAGACCTAGGTTTATTCTGAAGAATAACTCAAGTGCAGAAGAATGCTCATGCTTTCTTCTTCATTTTCTCTTTCATTTACCATTGCTTCAGTGGTTCTGTTCATCCCTGAGCCTGCCTTCATCAGAGCTGAAACTACACAAATCTCTTTTCTCCTGGCAGTAGAAGTGACCTCTGATCCCCAGCAGGTGGAATTTCCTGCCCTGTGTCTTCACCCAGTCTTAGTTACTAGAGCTTGAAAAGTGACAAATCACTGCCACTGACTGAATCCTCTATTTTATAGCAACTCCCTACCTGTTCTTCTGGAACATTCTATGAGGTTTGTTACTGTCCTGAGCTGGGCTCAGGAGCCGGTGTGCTTTGCCCAAGAAAGACTGGGGGAGGTTTACATTTAGCAAGCCCCCTTTGTGGGTTGAGTTGGGTCCTGTCTAGTCAGATGTGGTCAGTGTGAGGGCAGGAGCTCAGAAAGGCATGAGGGGTGCAGTGCTTTAGAAACACTTGGGCATCTCTATGGAACAATGATGGTTTAATTAGCTTTGATTGATATCTGAAGGAGGTTTAAGTGTTACTGAAGTGAGGGAATCTACACCATACACAAACTTACCACAAGGTACTTGAAATGTGATGTATCTTGAGACTGCTTCTTCCCCTTTCCTGAGCTAGCCTTTGTTGAGCACATCCTAGTTCACCTGATGGCATGTGTGGGTCAGGCTTGTTTGGGACTCCTCCTATGGATGTGTTCCAGGTAGACTGAGGCCATTCTCCCCTCCAGCAGTTTTTAGGCACCCCATTCCCAAAGCTTCTCTACATCACCCAGCCCTGGTGCATCCCACAAAGGGAAGAACCAGTGGCTTGGCTCAGTAGCTCGTCTTTCCTGCTTCTTTGGCAATCAGTGCCTCTGCTCTTCCCATGAATTACTGGCCAAGTGCTTCTGGTCTGTAGCTGAGGGCTCTGCAGAAGGATGGGGAGAAGCCCTTCTTGATGGAGGAAGGCAGAAATGCAGCACATAATTTGAAGCACAGGCACAGAGAAGAGGGCAGGTTCAGTGGAGCTTCACTCCCAAGCAGCCGGTGTAAGGCAGAACTTCATCCCTTCTTTCCCTTCTGGTGCCTTCCAGCATCACTGCCTCCCCTTGTTATTTTTCTCCAACAACTATGAAGGCAAAACACTCTCATAGGTAATAAGAGGTAGGTTTGTAATAGGTGGGATGGTGAGTTCTTGGCTTCTTGCTTTCCCTGCTTGTAGCCCCAGGTAACAGCCTGACCTTAGGTGCGGTGTCCATCACCCTCAGCTTGCTTTGATCCCTAGGGAGGGAGGGTGGATCCCACACCTTTACAGCCAGTGCTTTTCTTGTGCTTGTCTCCTAGTGCACAAGGGAAGGGTTGAAATCCCACTTAAGAGCAGCTTATTCCTCCTGAGTTTCCCCAGTTCAGTTGAATTCAGTCTCTGGAACACACAAACCTCTTCCTTAGCGAGGCAGCTTTCTGTCAGCCTTTTCTTTTTTCTCCATTTCCTCTTTTGTTCATTCCCCCATTATATGCATTAGAGGTGTTCATTTGCTTGGTTTTATTTTCTCCTTTATGGAATCATGGGTAGTTTCATTGCAACTCATCTCTTTCTGTTTGTTTCGTATAGGGCTGGTAGTGCAGGATCATTCAGACCCCCTGTTCAGTTCATATGCCTATAAGTCCCACTACCTACTGAATGAGTCAAATCGTGCTGAGTTGATGAAATTACCTATGATTCCTCCTCCTTCGTCAGCTTCCAAAAAGAAATGTGAGAAAGGTAACCAAAATAGTTTCTTTCTCTTTAATTTTCTTTTGCTTTTTCCTATTATTTCTCTCCCAACTCCACCCGAGGAATGTCTGCTTGTCAAGCACCACTTATTGCTTTCCAGTGAACTTCACTCATTGATTATTGTGAGCCTGTGTTCATGTTGTTGGCCATTTTGATTTCGTTTTTGATTCCAAAAGGGCTTAAAATAATTGCTGTCACTAAATTCTCCTTGGAAGAGGGACAATCCCTTTCTATCTGCCCTAGGCTGCTCCAGCTTGCAGGGAGCTGTTGACACTGAATGTGAATGGGAGGCAAATAGAGCTTGATGTTGTGGCAGTTCAGTGCTTACCCAGGATGATGAGAAACAGCTTCTTAAATTGGTTTTAGGTATGGAAGAAGAGGAGGAGTGTTCTGTTTCCGACCTTCCAGGTCGCTTGTGCAGAGCCTGAGAGAAGAAAGGGGTTTTCAGGTGGAATGAGGGTGGGAATTGTGGCTGGAGGATGGCCCAAGTTGGAGTTAGTGAGGTTTTGCCTGTGCATGTGTCCATTCGCCCCTGGGCTTCATATCCCACCTCTGCTACACTGGGACCACCGGTGCTCCTTCCCCTCCCTCAGGATGGGTGCTCAATCCCTGAAGTGAATCATAGGATCGTAGAATGGTTTGGGTTGGAAAGGACCTTGTCCTGTCCCTATATCCCTTACATCCCAAAGCCCCTCTCCAGCTTTCCTGCAGCCCCTTCAGGCACTGGAGCTGCTCTCAGGTCTCCCCTTAAGGAGCCTTCTCTTCTCTAGGCTGCCCCAGCCCAGCTCTCTCAGCCTGGCTCCAGAGCAGAGCTGCTCCGTGGCCTCCTTTGGCCTCACTCCAACAGCTCCACATCCCTCTTGGATACCTCATGGAGACGCTGGGGCATCCTGGAGCACCTCTGCGAGCACAACTCTTGTCTGGATGAAACAGATGCAATACTTTATTCCCCATAGAAGTTGGGTTCCCTGAGGGTGTTCAGACTTGGTGCCCCATTACCCACGCTGCAGCTAGGTTATTTCAGACACTGCCAGATCCCTGTCAGTAGTTCCTGGAATTCCTGAAAACACAAATTATTTTGAGCCCTCTGCTTAGCTTGAGCAATATCTCACTAATGCATCCCGAGAGCAACGGGTTGGGGTTTTACTCTTGCTTAGCATTGGAAGTCTTGTGTTTGGTTTTGTTTGGTTTTTGCATCCCTTGGCATTTTCCCATCTCGGATATAACGTTGCAGTGATTTACATCGGGTCCGTATTTCCTCTGAAGCAACCATTTGCAAAAGGCTCTTTTAAAAGCAACAATCCTCTCTGATGGGTTTGGGAAGCTCTGGAAAAATCCCTAGGGTTCAGATTTGCTTGTTCTTAGCAGAGGAAATACAGGATTGCTCATGCAAGTGGTTTGTTTAAGGAATGCTTTTTGTGACATGCACCAAGCGATGCGATGATGCTGCTGGAAGTCTATAGGTGGCCAAGATTTTCTGGTAACTGTTTGGAAGTTGCTATTCCCACTTCTTTGGAGCTTGTGGTGGAAGATTCCTTGACATACCCTCAAGTCTCTCCCAGGTTTTTCCATCTGGGATGTGAAAACTTGTTACGGAAAATTATATCCCTCTAAAAAGATATGTATTTATTATACTTACATATAGAAAATATTACTGTATGGGTCATGTATCGTTGTTGTATGAGCTGCTCTGTTAGTTTAGAGATGAGCTGGGCCTCTCCACGTTCAATCCAGCTGCCCAAATAGAACCCAGCCAAGTCAGTGCAAACCGGAGGAGTCAATGTGAATCGCTGCGCCTTTGGGCACCAGAGGAGCTTTGGGGGCAGCTCGTGGGGTCTCATCCTGTGTTAGGTGCTCTGCTCCTAGTGGAAAACTTCCCTTTTGGGGGGGGGTGAAATTGCCACTGCAGTTCTCTTGGAATGCCCTTGGTACAGAAAAGCATTGCTCAACCTATAGGCTGCGGGGTTCGATGCGCACTGACTGGTGGCTGGGGCTCAGTCCTAACAATGTTGATTGGAAAAGGGTTTCTCTTCACCAATTTGGGGGGGTTCCCATTGCTTTGGCCATCACCAAAGAAATAAAGCAAAGGTTGGGCCATCGCCAAAGACGTGGAAGCCATCGGCGCTGCTCTGGGATGCAGCGCTTCCCTTGGGAATGCTGGCTTCAGAAACAGCTGCCTTTTTGGTGTATCTGTGCTGCAGGTGAGAGCCACAGCTCGCCCATCACTCACTGCCCAGGCCTTTTGAACCAACATTGTTACTTCGGACTTGATCCCTTTCTCTTGCCATGTTTTCCTGCGGGACACATGGGAATGTGGAGTGGATGATTCCAAAGGAGTGTCGGGGAGGGGGGAGCAAATCCTCACTTCTATAAACCAAGCAGGCTTTCTTTGTTTAAAGGTGGAAAGCTGTTGTGCTGTGAGTCCTGCCCAGCTTCCTTTCACCCCGAGTGTCTCAACATAGAAATGCCAGAGGGATGCTGGAATTGCAATGACTGTAAAGCTGGCAAGAAGCTACGGTACAAGCAGATCGTTTGGGTCAAGCTTGGGAATTACAGGCAAGTCATTAATGCTTTGGATGGCTTTAGTGTGCTATAGAATTCCAGGATGATGACTCACATCAGCTCAGTCCTTCTAAACAACAACTAGAAATAGAGGAATTCATCTGCTTTGTGTTGGATATCGATGTCAGCTTGACATGACATTCTCCCTCTTATTCCAGGCACTGATGGACACTTGGTTGTGCTTATGTTTGCTCTATAGAGTGTAATAGTGATGTGGAGAACCAGGGGCTGTCTTTAGAAGGAGGATGTCGTGGCTTGTGTTGGCTGTTAGTCACCCCCAGGAACACAAGCACTTTATGGGTGATCTTAGAAACCCACCCCGATGCCAGCTTTCCCAAAGTCTGGAGTAAGACCTTGTCTCGTGTCATGCATGGTGCTCGGAGCCTCGAATTCCTTCCTTTAGGAAAACTGGCTTTGATTTCTCAGCCCAACCTCGCAGAGATGGTTCAGAGAACTGAGGTGCTTCTTTCTCTTTGTGCTTTGCAGGTGGTGGCCAGCAGAGATCTGCAATCCCAGGTCTGTGCCTCTCAACATACAGGGCCTCAAACATGATATCGGGGACTTCCCAGTATTTTTCTTTGGTTCACATGACTACTATTGGGTACACCAGGGCAGAGTTTTCCCTTATGTTGAAGGAGATAAAAGCTTTGCTGAGGGGCAAACTAGTATTAACAAGACCTTCAAGAAAGGTAAAATCAAACAAAGTTTATAGTGGTTTATGACAAAAATTCCACGTGTTTGTGTCTCCATCCACCACTTAACCTGCATGGGAATATTCTGTGACTAGTGTTCTGTGTTCACCTCCAATGCAAGCGTTCTGTAGCTCCCTTGACTGCAGATAGAACTTGTTTCTTTAAGTGCCTACCCATTGTGTGTCGTTGTGGGCAAGTGCAATTCTTCCCCAGGCTGGGAGATGTGTAGATGGAGCTGGGGCTCTGCTGCATGGGATCATTGTTGGGTAGCCGTACTGCAAAGTACCTGATGATAGATTCATGATGTACTGCAATAACTCATTCTTAGCTTGTTGGGGTTTGTTTATGGAGCTCTGTTCCTAGCTTTTAAGAAGAGAAATGAACATACATACGTGTATTGATGTGGTTAACAGCTGCTGGTGCTAATGGCTTTCTATTTTGAACTCCCTTGCGCAGCACTTGAAGAAGCAGCAAAGCGCTTCCAGGAACTGAAAGCACAAAGAGAAAGCAAAGAGGCATTAGAAATTGAAAGGAATTCAAGGAAACCTCCGCCATATAAACACATTAAAGTGAGTTGGCTTCTTTCTTTTCCTCCTTTCCGTGTGTGCCAGGGTAAGCTGGGTCTTTAAATCAATATTTGGAGGTACTCAAAGCATTGTGTGTGACAATTCCAGCATAAGGAAATTCCAAGAAATCATTTTGCTCTTCCTTTCAATACTCTTTTGTTCTGACTTATTATGGCAGAGCGTTTGTGAAAGAGCATTTCTGGTTGAAGAACAGTGTCACCTGAGGTAGAAACTGGCTGGTTGTGAGCTTGTCTTGCGTCTTGGCTACTGATGTGTACCAACCTCTGTTAACACAGCCCTCAGCGCTAGCAAGGGTGCCAACTGCTCACCCTGCCCCTTTGCCAGCAGCTTTGGACACACAGGACTTGATGTTGTCCCTTTAATGGTTTTAGTTGGAAGGAATCCCAGCGATGTACTTGATAAACTTGGCGTGCACTGATCTCCTCAAGCAGTGATTTCACTGGGGGAAGACTCAGGCTTTGCTGTCTGGAGTCATATGAGTTTTGGTGGTCTTCACTTAAATCCCTTACTGCTGGCTTCCCTGAACAGTGTGTGTGTCCCTAGTTAAGTTCATGGTGAGTGACAGGTAGTGGACAACCAGCCACTGGAATCATCTCCCTAGGGAAGTGGATTCCCTAGCACTGGACACAGTTAAGATTCAGCTGGTCAGGGTCCTGGGACGTCTGGTCTCAGTCATGCTTTGCCTAGAAAGGTTGGACCAGATGATCCTTCAGCTCCTTTCCAATGGAGCAGTTGCATCCATGCTCTTTGTGCATTGCCTTCATCATCAATTCCTTTTCCCCTTTGCTCCACAGTCCAACAAGGTGATAGGGAAGGTTCAGATCCAGGTGGCTGACCTGTCGGAGATCCCTCGCTGTAACTGCAAGCCCTCGGATGAGAACCCCTGTGGCCTGGAATCGGAGTGTTTGAACAGGATGCTGCAGTACGAGTGCCATCCCCAAGTGTGCCCTGCAGGAGAGCGGTGCCAGAACCAGTGTTTCACCAAAAGACTCTACCCTGATGCTGAAATCATCAAAACTGATCGCCGGGGATGGGGCCTCAGGACAAAAAGGAGCATTAAAAAGGTAGAATTACAAAGGACAAAGGCAGCCTTGTCCTCAGTTGAAGATGAGGACATCCAGGAGAGCTGGAAAGTGCAGAAAAGGCAAAGAGATCCTGAACTGATTCTTTCCCCATTAGAACCAATGTGGTGCTGAGCTGTACGCACAGGCGGCGTGTAGGATAACCCACAGTGCAATGTCAGGATGAAAGCTTTGTGGATAGTCATTTAAACTGTGAATGTGGTGCTTTTATCTATTTTTACAAGGATTTATCTCCTTAGCTTTAAAGTGTAGTTTACAGTCTCTAGAAATGTGAGATAGAAGGATTATTATGCTGCTGTTCTCATTTTGAGCAGGATTATTGCTTAGACTCACGTCTGCCTATGAGAGGGTTAAATTGCCATGCTTCTTGTGATGACTGTAGTATGTGGGCTGCATCAAAAGGAGCGTGACCAGCAGGTCGAAGGAGGTGATCCTGCCCTTCTGCTCTGCTCTCATGAGACCTCACGTGCAGCACTGTGCATGGAACTATTGGAACAAGTCCAGAGGAGGCCACAAGGATGATCAGGGGCTGGAGCAGCTCCAGGCTGAGGAAGTTGGGGCTGTTCAGCCTGGAGAAGAGAAGGTTGCGTGGAGACCTCATAGCAGCCTTCCAGTGTCTGAAGGGGGCCTATAGGGATGCTGGGGAGGGACTCTTCATTAGGGGCTGCAGTGACAGGACAAGGGGTAACGGGTTCAAACTGAAACAGGGGAAGTTTGGATTGGATCTAAGGAAGAAGTTCTTCACTGTTAGGGTGCTGAGGCACTGGAATGGGTTGCCCAGGGAGGCTGTGGATGCTCCATCCCTGGCAGTGTTCAAGGCCAGGTTGGACGAGGCCTTGGGTGAGATGGTTTAGTGTGAGGTGTCCCTGCCCATGGCAGCGGGGTTGGAACTGGATGATCTTAAGGTCCTTTCCAACCTTAACCATTCTATGATTCTATGAAATGCTTTTCTTCCTGTGCTGCTTCCCTTTAGGATAGGAGGGAGATGAGAAACCCGTGCTTAACTTGTTTTCCTTCCCTTCCAGGGTGAATTTGTGAATGAATACGTTGGTGAGCTGATAGACGAGGAGGAGTGCAGACTGCGCATCAAGCGCGCGCACGAGAACAGCGTGACCAACTTCTATATGTTAACTGTAACAAAGGTACACGTCACACCTCGTTCGGTGTGAGCTGTTGAGGGTTGAAACTTGGGGCAAAATGCTGGCAGAAGCATTGTTCCATGTTTGCTCCTACCCTCCTATCCACACCTCAGTGGGTGAGGAGGTGAAACAGAGAACCTGTATCTCAGGTTGTGCCTATTTCACATTGTAGCATCAATATTCAGGCTGTCTTTCATTAACTCTTAAGGGAGAACTTAGCACTTAGAAGCAGTATATGAAATAAGTGTATTTTTGCTGCCTGGGCCATTAGTAATCCCTTGTTTCACCTTTTTCTTTGTAATTACTTGACCATGTCTGTGTCTTTTTTGCTCTGAAGGACCGGATCATAGATGCTGGCCCAAAGGGGAATTACTCTCGGTTTATGAACCATAGTTGTAATCCAAACTGTGAAACACAGAAGTGGACAGTGAACGGGGACATTAGAGTTGGACTGTTTGCTCTTTGTGACATTCCTGCAGGTAAGAAGTTCTGCACATATACTTCTGTCTCCATGGCTATAACTTGCTGTGGTGGTTTTCCCCTTAAATTCCATAACACCAGCAATGTTTATAGGAACTTTGTCATTCATTGGAGCAAAGACAAGTATTTGAGTTCTGGGGATCTGTCGTTGGAGATTTTGAAGCTGAAAGCTGCTGTTAAAGCTGACTCCAGGCTTTGCTGCCAAGTACAGTGTTAGCTCTGGCCTGTAAACGCTTAGCACAGTACTGATCTTTCATCAGGATTTGTCTGGGGTGATGTTATCTTTCCATGCTCAGCGTTTCACCTGATCTCCCATTGTGCCTGGCTCTGTGTGATAGTGGAGTCGAGGAACTCCGTGCATTGTTTCCTTCCAAACACACTGCTGCTGGATCTCCAAGCTCAACCTGATGGATGCCTCCTCCCAAGCCTTGTCTTTCCTCAGCGGCTCTGTGGGTGAATTGTTTTCTCTTCACGTTTCAGGGATGGAGTTAACCTTCAATTACAACTTGGATTGCCTGGGCAATGGGAGGACCGAGTGTCACTGCGGGGCAGAGAACTGCAGTGGTTTCCTCGGGGTGCGTCCAAAGGTACGTGGATGGCAACTGAAGCTTCTCCTCCCAGATCCAGTGAGAGCAGGGCAGGGAGGTTCTTGTTTGAGTTACTCTTTAGTTCAGGTTGGCCAAAGACGTGGTGAGTGCTCCATCCCTGGCAGTGTTCAAGGCCAGCCTTGGGTGACATGGCCTAGTGTGAGGCATCCCTGGCCCATGGCAGGGGGTTGGAACTGGATGATCTTAAGGTCCTTTCCAACCCAAACTATTCTATGGTTCTATGGTTCTAATACTTTCCACCCTTGACAGCCTCTAAAGGCACAGTAGTGCTGTTGTGGACTTCATGTACCAAACTGTGTTAATTCAGGCACACGTGGATGAGCATTTCTGGCTTCTGTAGCTTAAACTCTTATTTGGGGTGGATTTAATGTAGGCAGAGTGCATGCAAATAATAAGCCCAAGTGATTAATTGTAATGCAAGGGGTTTGTAAAGTGACTGTATGCTCTGATCTTTGTAATTGCCAGACAGCATTTGCAACAGCAAACGAAGAGAAGGTGAAGAATGCAAAGTTAAAGCAGAAGAAGAGGAAAATAAAAACAGAGCAGAAGCAGATGCATGAAGACAACTGCTTCCAGTGTGGAGACGGGGGAGAGCTAGTCATGTGTGACAAAAAGGACTGTCCCAAAGCATACCACCTCCTATGCCTTAACCTGACTCAACCCCCTTTTGGTAAGAGCAGTCCTGTGCTTTCCTGTTCAGCTTTCCTTCCTGCAGTGCCAGAGCTGAAATGCAGCATTCATTTAGGTTAAAAGCAGCTTATTGGCTTTGGCAGCGCTGCTTGGTTTTAGGCATACGTCAGGTGGCAGTGTTCTGACATGATGAGCAGAGGTGTTGTAATACTTCATGTTCTCTCATGTGTTTAATTTGGCTACTGCTAAAGGGTGGCACGTCCCTTCTGTTTGATTTCTCCATGTTAAGGCAGAGTTCTCTGTAGCCAGGGTTCAGGTTATTCAGCAATACAACGTCTTAATCCCATGGCAGGATTTGGGAAAAGCCTTTATCTCTTTAATCTTCCTGATTCCAAAGACTTTGATGAAAATCATTGGAAGGCCAGATTAGTCTAGGATTAAATAATCCAAGCAGCTGCCACCAGTGAAGCTGAAGAAGCAGCAAGAAGCTTTTGATTTCCCTTTTTCCTATGCTCAGTGCACCTCTGCAGTCCAAGAGTTGAGCATATGGTCATAGAAAGACGTGTCTGAATGGTTTGGGGATCTGGGGCTTTTGTGCTCCAACGTATTTTTACCCAATTTATTCTTCTTTTAGCCATTTCTCACTTAGTTTCCAAAACTAATGCATTGAACAGCTTAGTTTGGAGATACCTCTCTGAGCAAGTCCAGGTCAGTAAGAGATGCTCACAAATCAAACCCAACTCCCCTTGCAAGGACATTTGGTGTTTTGATGCCAGAGGAGGTTGAGCTCTCTTTGTTTTGAGCTCTGGTTAAGCCCATTTTGATGCTTTGAGCCAAGTGAGGCCTAAAAGATGCCCCGTGTCTGTTGGACACGAGGAGCAGAAGTGGCAACCGCAGTCAGAGCTGGTTTTCCAGTTTCGAAACGCGCGCTAATCCCAGCTTCCTGTCTGCCTCTCTTCCCTGCCCTTCCCGTCCTCAGGAAAGTGGGAATGTCCGTGGCATCAGTGCGACGTCTGTAGCAACCCTGCCGTTTCCTTCTGCGAGTTCTGCCCTCACTCCTTCTGCAAAGACCACGAGCAGGGAGCGCTGGTGCCGTCGGCGCTGGACGGCCGCCCCTGCTGCTCCGCGCACGACCCTAAGTCTCCCGTGGCCCCCGAGTACTGGAGCAAGATCAAGTGCAAATTGGAAGCACAGAACCCCGCTGAAGAAGCCAAGGAGTGAATTTGGTTACAAAGAGCCAAGGGAAGGGGAGAAGAGAAGGGGGGCGGGCAGGCGATGAACTCAAAGAGACTGCTTGGACACGTTCAGTCTTTGGCATCGTCGTGCGCGGACTGGGATGGGGACCATTTCCTCCGAGCGAGCAGAAGCAGGCGGTGGTGGTTGGGTTTTTGTTGTTTGGTCTTTCTTTTAGCCTTGAATGTGCTACAGCAGCTCTTCCTGTGGGCAACCAGAGACGTCTTGGCCTTCAGAGGAGAAACCTTTTGACAGTGCAGAGAATATTCCGTTTCCAAGCTGTTCTCTTGAGTGTAGAAAAGCAAATCATAGCAGCGTATTTATTTATTTAATTTCTAAAGGGTGTTGGAAGATCTGGCTTTGCTCAGGCTTCGTGGCTTTAGAAACAGAGCAGCAAAGCCAAGGTCACTTCTGTGTGTAGTTTACAGCAAGGACAAAGCAGTCCCCACTCTGTAATGCTGAGGTGCCACACGGGCAGATGTGGGGTTCAGACCAGGTGACCCTGAAATGCCTCTATCCCAGTGTTTACTGCTATAAGGCATTTGGAGAAGGTAGGTTATGTTCACGTTAACCTCTGAATGTTGTTGTCAAGCTTTTCCAATGAGAAATGAGGTGGGGGACTTCTTGGAAGGGCTCTTAATGCCGGATCTGGCATTGGTGATGGAGGGCAGGAGTTGCATCTCCCTACTGGAGCTGTAAGTGGGTGCTTGCAGGCAGGTGGAAATGCAGAAGGAGCTTAATGGCACAATGGGCATTCCATTCTCCTGCCTAACCTTCCTAGTCAGGAGAGCCTCAGCCTGCGAGCACACTGAGAACTGAGGTCTTAATCCTGCCCATGGGAGCGCTGCCATTGACTCCTGTAGAGGGAGGAGGACAAATCCCTGCTCTGTGCATAGGTATTTGTCACCTGCCAAGTCTGGGCTTGTTTTCCTGCGGTTGCATTCATGTGATTCCTTCCTGCTGCCTTCCCAACCTCCCAGTAGCTTCAGATCTGAGGAGATTTGAGCCCGGAAGGAATCAGACCCATGTATGTGTTTGCTTTGATGGAATGCTTAGGTATTATTTTTGCTGAGAGAGCTTCTGGCTTTCATTTTTGTTAATGGAGCTAAGGAAAAATCTCAGCACTTCAATGAACAGGGTATTTTCCGCCTGGGTCACGGGCTGTGTTCACAGCAGCCAACGTGAGCCTCTTGAAACACTTCTCCCTTGCATTTCCTCTGCTGGAGAGGCTTATGAAGGGGCTGCTCCAGGAGGAGGTTCCTTTAAGAACCATTCTCTTTCATGTGCAAGGAGCCTGGAGAACTGCTTTGGTGCACCCTTCAGCCAAGCACTGTGTGTGTGTCCCCTTGCCCTGGTACAGTTAGAGCCCACTTCTGACGTGGGTACTCGAGAATAAGGTATTGAAGATAAGGAATTCATATCAAGTGTTGCTGGCATCTGGCTGAGTGGAGCCTTTGGGTTAAGAGCTGTGTCTTTAGGAGAGCTCCAGAAACGTGGTGACTTCTCAGTTAAGCCAATCAAAGGCAGAAGAAGTACATGGGAGGTGGTGGAAGGTGTCTTGCCTCTGGTTGGTGATGTCTTAGCCCTCAGATGAGGGGTTGGAATCACTTTGTGTGCAATTAGGACAGAATACACTACAGTGCCATTAACTGAGCCAGCAGCTCATCTCCTGAGCACCCATGGGTGCTTGGGGTGTACCTGGGGGGGGGATTCAGTTACGGTGCAGAGGCTCCTGGGCTCTGCAAAGCACTTCATCTTGTGGTCCGTGCTACAGAGGACATCCGAAACACTAACGTTGCTTGAAAGCAGTGCTCTATTTTGGTACTTTTTACACCACAAAAAGCCCTTTGCAGAAAAGGCTTTTCTTTTTCTTCCCGTTTTTGGTGATAAATGTCTCTTTTTAGGCTCTTACTGGGGCTCTTTGCCCTTTTCAGCAGTGCCAGACGTAGCTCTTGCTGCAGTAAGGCCCAGTGTGTTTACTTCAGCTTATTTATTAGGCTTGATCATGTTCAGGTGATGTTCTCTTGGGAATACAGAGCGTGGCTATGGGGTGAGTGCAGTTTTCACTGTGTCAATGGTGTGAGGGCACCAGGACCCCCCTCTTGAGCGCTCCACATGGATGAGAGCTGTGGACCGTCCTTCACCTCGCAGGCCACACAGAGGTTCACAGAAGGCTTAAAAGCATGTCAAACGCTGTGAATTGAGGGTTGCTGCTGCTCCCGTGCCATGCACTCGAGGTCTTGGTTCATTTTGGTCTCAAACTCCTTACAGGTGCTTCTTTTTTCCACCAAAAAGCTAAGATTAAGGATAGCCAAAACCTGGAGCAACAGGAGACTGGTTTATAAGCTGGTGAGCAAAGAGTCTGAACTGGATTTCACTCTACTGGAGAGAAGGTGAATCTTTAATGTTCTGAGATAAGAAAATGCCACATTGAAGCATCTTCTTAACGGTAGGGTTGTTCTGTTTGCCAAACACAATGTTCAGGCACACCTTTTAACCCCATCTCAGCCGACTGAATAGTGATAACGGCATTCCTTCATCAGGAAGAGGTTTAATGGATGCTCTAATTGGCATCAAGGGGGAGCTGTATCCTCGACTGGGATGAGTAATACTGGATGGTGATTTGGCTGTTTTCATGCTGATGCCTGGAAGAAGTCCCCAGGCCTGCTGTGATTTTGGTTGAGAGCTTGATCCTGCTGTTAAAGGCCCCGTTATTCCTTCACCCCAACGCTTCTCCCTTTGTCTCCCATTCCCAAGGGAGCACCACGCTCTGGCTCCCTCTCCCATCACCTGCGTGTGCTCCCTTTTGGTGCAGCCTCCAAGCTGCTGTGTGAAGTGAACAGGATTGTGGTGTTTACTGGGGCTTTTACTCTGGGTTGCACCTTAGCACAGCACAGAGCACGGCCAAGCGCTGGTTGACTCCCTGCATCCACGGTGCAAGCATTTAGTTGTAGCTTTCAGGTCGTTTCTGTAGACTTCTCCTCTCCATAGACTGTCGAAGGCATTTGCAGCTCAGGAAGGATAAAGCTAAAGGCAATTTGGGGGGCAAGGGGGGGCAAATTCCCTTCTCTGCCCACCACCCTGGTCTTGGAGATAGCTTTTGGAATGGAGTAGTAGGGCCGGAACGTTGGATTTTGGCCTTTCTTGGGAAGAAAACCCTTCCTTGTATCTTTCATTTCAGGATAGAATGGGAAAGACCCAATTCTTAGACGTACTGAACAGCATCCCATGTGTATATATTGAATCTTGACGGAACGCTGTGGGTTGGGAGGGGAGGGGGGGTGTCCGGCCCTGGTACGAAGTAGTCACTTTAACATTGAAACCTCTGCCTCATTGAATTCAGGGTTTAATGTACTTGAAGCTCTGCGGTTCCTTCTCCAGCTTTTGGTTGGGTTTATTTTATTTATGCATTCTTTATGTAGCCTCCATTGAGAAACGTCTTTTTGCCTTCCCTCACCTCCCTCCCTGCTCCCCCTGGATCCGTGGCACAGGGAAAGGGGGCGGTTTCCAGGCTCGAGGGGCGGCACGGTGGGGTGATGCTGCTCAGCTTTTGGGTTTCCCTTGGCTTTCCCCTACCTTTGTGTAGCAAGGACCCATTTGCACTCACCCTGCTCCGCTTTGGATGGGTTCACAATGGTCCGAGTATAAAGGAAAAGGTAAAAATGCCCTAACAAAAGAAGGTGTTTCCTGTTATGTTCTATTCCTGAGCAGCGAGCTCAGGTTTTATCACCCCATATGGGGCCGTGCTGTGGGGAGAGCGATGTGGAGTCTCTGTGCTCTGCACAGCGGCTTCCATGTGCTTCATATGAACCCCAAAAGGGAAATCACGTTTGACTTTGCCAAAGCCATTCGCTCCTTCACCGCCTCTGCTGTTACCAACAGGCTATAGGGAACCATTCCCCATCCTGTCTCATTCCCGGTGTCCTCCTCTATCCGCCGTTGGGATCCGACCCCCCCCAGTTTGCACAAGGCAGGTACGTGCAGATCCTGTTCCCATCCCCGTGTGCTCCGAGGATGCCCTTTGTAGAGTCGTTCTCTCCATAGCCTTTTATCTGTACCAAACCTTGTAGGTCCTGTGAAATGTTCTGTTAAGGCAATCCCTCATAGCAAAAGCATCCATAGTCACTGAAGCCGGTATCCTAAAGAGTCCTTGGGAGTCGCCTAGAAGCTCTTTGACACTAAAGGGAGTAGTGTTCACTTTCCCTGGCCATGTTCCATTGGGGCATTAACTGTATTATGACTTGATGTTGCCGCATAGACTTTGAGATAGCCGATATTGGGGGGTTTTGTTGTCCGGCCTCTGTTCTGCATAGTGTGAAACCTGTAAAGCTTGGGTAACCCTGTACATAGGTAGCTGACCGTCACCTAGTTATAGCGTACCTAGACTTGCCTGTAATATTCTAGCTTCTTCCTTGAATGTGTGTGATGGTAGGAACCATATAATTTTTGTACATTCTATTTCCGGAGATGTTGCCTTTTTATTTTCCAACTCCTTTGGAATTGGGATGTGGTTTTTTTGTTTTTTTTTTGCTTCCGTGAGGATTCATTTGGGGGAAGGTTTTTAAATGACATTCCACTGATCTGAACTTTTGCTTGAGGTTGACTTCAATAAATCGTTCTGAATGTTCCAACGACCGACAAGGCTTTTCCCTCCCTCTTGTCTTGGGGTGGGCAGGGAGAACAGGGGTTCACCCTGCTCCTGAGGGAGCTCCCGGTGTGGGTCCTATGGGAGCTGCTCCCTGCATGGCTCCTTCTTGGTTCCTAGGGGAAGCAGTCCCCTCGGGGCTCCCTCTTGGTCCCTATGGGAACCGGTCCCCTTGGTTCCTATGGGATCCACTCACCTCTGTGCTCCTCCTTGGTTCCTATGGGATCCGCTCCCCTCGGTGCTCCTTGCTCGGTTCCTATGGGATCTGATCCCCTTGGTGCTCTCTGCTCGGTTCCTATGGGATCTGATCCCCTCGGGGCTCCCCCTTGGTTCCTCTGGGAACCGGTCCCTGTTGGTCCCTATGGGATCCACTCCCCTCGATGCTCCCTGCTCGTTTCCTATGCGAACCACTTCCCTCAGGGTTCCTCCTTGGTCCCTATGGGATCCGCTCCCCTTGAGGCTCCCCCTTGGTTCCTATGGGAACCGCTTCCCTGGGGTCTCCCCCTTGGTTCCTATGGGATCCACTCACCTCTGTGCTCCCTGTTCGTTTCCTATGGGATCTGCTCCCCTTGGGGTTCCCCCTTGGTTCCTATGGGAACCGCTTCCCTGGGGTCTCCCCCTTGGTTCCTATGGGATCCACTCCCCTCGGGGCTCCCGCTCGGTTCCTATGGGATCTGCTCCCCTCTGTGCTCCCTGCTCGTTTCCTATGGGATCCACTCCCCTCTGTGCTTCCCTGCTCATTTCCTATGGGATCCGCTCCCTTTGGGGCTCCTCCTTGGTCTCCATGGGATCCGCTCCCCCTGGGGCTCCCCCTCGGTCCCTATGGGAACCGCTTCCCTCGGTGCTCCCTGCTCAGTTCCTACGGGATCCGCTTCCCTTGGGGCTCCTCCTTGGTCCCTATGGGATCCGCTCCCCTCTGTGCTCCTTGCTCGTTTCCTATGGGAATCGCTTCCCTCGGAGCTCCTCCTTGGTCCCCATAGGAACCGGTCCCCTTGGTTCCTATGGGATCCGCTCCCCTCGGTGCTCCCTGCTCGGTTCCTACGGGATCCGCTTCCCTTGGGGCTCCTCCTTGGTCCCCATAGGAACCGGTCCCCTTGGTTCCTATGGGATCCGCTCCCCTCGGTGCTCCCTGCTCGGTTCCTACGGGATCCGCTTCACTCGGAGCTCCTCCTTGGTCCCCATAGGAACCGGTCCCCTTGGTTCCTACGGGATCCGCTCCCCCTGGAGCTCCCCCTCGGTCCCTATGGGGTCCGCTTCCCTCGGAGCTCCTCCTTGGTCCCCATAGGAACCGGTCCCCTTGGTTCCTACGGGAACCGCTCCCCCTGGAGCTCCCCTTCGGTCCCTATGGGAACCGCTTCCCTCGGAGCTCCTCCTTGGTCCCCATAGGAACCGGTCCCCTCTATCCCTATGGGATCCGCTCCCCCTGGAGCTCCCCCTCGCTCCCTATGGGACCCGATCTCCCCAGCGGTCCAAGCCGGCTTCCCCGCCCCTGATCCAGGAAGGGCCGTGGCCGGGCTCCTCCCCGGGCGATGTGGGGCGGGCGCTGGGGCCATGCGGCGGACGGGCTGCGGTGCGGAGCTGGCTGCCGAGGCTGCGGTGCGGGCCCTGCTGCTGGCGGCGTTCGTGTGAGTGGGAGCTGGGGGGCTCGGCTCGGCTCGGCCCCGGCCCCGCAGCCTGAGCCCCGCTCCGGTTCCGTCCCTCCCGCAGCACCATGGAGTTCCTGCCGCCCTTCCAGCGCCTGGTGCAGCCCGAGGAGATGTGGCTCTATCGGAACCCCTACACGGAGGCGGATCGAGTGCCTGCGCTGCCCATGGCCGTGAGTTCCACCCCTTCCTGCGGGTTTGCTCTGGGCCTTGGGGTTAAAGGCACCTTAAAGCTCATCCAGCTCCCACCCCATGGGGCACAGGAGGATGCTCCAACCTGGCCTTGAGCGCTGCCAGGGATGGGGCGGCCGCATCTTCTCCGTGCGACCCATCACCCTCACGGGGTGCTTAAGAGCCCATTGCGGTCTCCCCTCTGCCTAAAGAGCTGTACTGTCGTTACTTTCAGGCGCCATGGGTGTCCCTGGGGGTGGGATGCTGGGTGATAACCGCGTTTCCCTGCATCAGCGTCTCCCGTGGTTTTTCGCTGATGGGAGCAGTGTGGGTGCTGCAGGCAGGGCTGGGTTTGTGTTCCGAGGGACGTGCAGCGCTGCGAGGGGGCAGGATGCTGCCTGCCTTTGCCCTTGTGTCCTGACAGCCGTCTCCTCCCGTGGCAGCTCATCGCCTTCCTGTCCCCGCTGCTCCTCATCCTCCTGGCAAGGCTCTTCCTGGGCGCCGACCGGGAGGACACACGGGAAGCCTGCCTCGGTGAGCTGCTCCTGAGCCCGCCGGGGGGTCTGAGGCCTCAGCTGCGTGGCTCTGCATGAAGCTCGAGCGCTGAGCGTGCCTCAGCATAGAACCACAGCAGGGGTGGGGTGGAATCGCCCTTAAGAGCATCCAGTTCCAACCCCTTGCCGTGGGCAGGGGTGCCTCGTACTAAACCGTGTCACCCAAAGCTCTGTACGGACAGGGATGGAGCATTCACTGCTCTGGGCACCCTGTGCCAGCGCCTCAGCACCCTCACAGTGAAGAACTTCTTTATCTCCAATCTGAACTCCCCCTGTTTCAGTCTGAACCCATCGCCCCTTGTCCTATCCAGCCCCTTGCTGAAGAGCCCCTCTCCAGCATCCTTACAGCCCCCCTTCAGAAGCTGCTCTGAGGTGGTGCCTCCAAGACGGGGATGGTGCTGATGTGACCCCTCTGCTCTCTCCCAGCTGCCAGCCTCGCTCTTGCCCTGAACGGGGTCCTTACAAACGCCCTGAAGCTCGTGGTGGGCAGGTGAGAAACTGGCTCCTTCCTCCTTGCACCGTGCAGGGAAGGGATGCGGGTCCGGGCCATGGCAGAGCTGCAATAGGAGCAGCAAGGGCCGGAAGCTGGAGCTTGCCACGCTCAGTGGGGACAGAATGGGTTCTGGCTGGCTGGCAAGACCATTAAACATCAGAGCAGACACTGGTGGGGATCCGGGCACCGCATGGATGGGCTCCTTCACACAGGGAGCGGGTGGGATGGCTTCATCACCCCACCTTGGTTGCCTGAGTGGCTGTGTTCGGATGTGGGTGCTCGTTGGAGGGCTTGGGGGGGGGGGTCTGAGTGCTGTGCACCCATGAGCTGTGCTCTGCTGCTCTGCCCTAGGCCACGGCCGGACTTCTTCTATCGCTGCTTCCCGGATGGACGAGCCAACGTGGAGCTGGTGTGCACGGGAGACGCCAGCGCCGTGACCGAGGGGCGCAAGAGCTTCCCCAGCGGGCACGCTTCCTGTGAGTATTCCATGGCCAGGAGCGAGCCGTGGGGAGCCACAGCCTGTGGGAGGGGGCAGCTTGGCTTTGGGTACATTTTGGGGGGGCTCAGTTTTTCCCTCTGCAAAGCAATGGGGTGAAAACCTTCACGGGAAGCTGCCTGTGCCCCCCCCCCCCGGGATGAGGGATGCGCACCAAGGACCAGCTCCTGCGTCTCCATCCCTCACAAGCCAATGCTTCCCATGGGCAGGACACCCCGTCCATGGCAGCAGGGCAGAGGGTGAAGCAATGGGTTTCTCTTCCAGTCGCCTTCGCTGGCCTCGCCTTCTCTGCCTTCTACATAGGGGGGAAGCTGCGGTGCTTCACGCCGGGCCGGGCGGGCAGAGCCCTGCGCCTCTGCGCCTTCCTCCTCCCGCTCTTCCTCGCCACCCTCATCGCCGTGTCCCGCACCTGCGACTACAAACACCACTGGCAAGGTGGGTCTGAGAGCGCAGAGTGGGGTGGGTTGCAAAGGAGCTTAAAGCTCATCCAGTTCCAACCCCCCTGCCATGGGCAGGGATGCCTCACACTAAACCATGGCACCCAAGGCTCTGTCCAGCCTGGCCTTGAGCCCTGCCAGGGATGGAGCATTCACAACCTCCCTGGGCAACCCATTCCAGTGCCTCAGCACCCTCACATAAAGAACTTCCTCCTTATCTCCAGCCTGAACTCCCCCTGTTTCAGTCTGAACCCATCACCCCTTGTCCTATCCCTACAGTCCCTAATGAAGAGTCCCTCTCCAGTATCCTTGTAGCCCCCTTCACACACTGGAAGCTGCTCTGAGGTCTCCACGCAGCTTCTCTCCTCCAGCCCCAATGTTCTCAGCCTGGCTCCATACGGGAGCTGCTCCAGCCCCTGAGCATCCTCGTGGCCTCTCCATGTCCTGATGATGCTGAGGACACCATCACTGCACACAGTGCTGCAAGTGGGGTCTCACGATGTCAGTGTCTGCCTAAGGACACAACTGGGTACCCTCAGTGCAAGGGGAGTCCATGGTGGGCTCTGAACCTGAGGATTAACCAAAAACCCCTTGGGTTTGGGGGTTTTCCTGCTGGAGAGCTCATTCCTGAAGCTTGGGAGGGTGACGGGAAGCTCATTCTCCTCTGCTCTTGCCCACAGACGTGGTGGTTGGCTCAGCCATTGGCTTCGTGCTTGCCTACCTCTGCTACAGGCAGTATTACCCTCCCCTGACAGACTCCATGTGCCACAAACCCACGCAGCTGCCAGCACACCAAGAGAGGCCTCCAGCTTCCAGCTTCCACCTGGATATATAGGGATGGGCTCTGCCCTGCTGGTCCATCAATGCCAGGGCAAGGGGAAGGCTTTGGGGAGGCTGATGGTGAGATGCAGATGAACCTGATGCTGGTGCTGATGGGTTCAACCACATCTCATAGCCAGCCCCTGCCCTCAGGGCGCAAGCCTGCAGCCACAAAGGGTCCTGAAGCAAGAAGCAGGATGGGACCAGCTGGTGCTCCCCATTCCATGGGTGTTCTTGTCCCCATCAGGCACCTCCCTTCAGCCCCATCCCTCCCTATGGGAAGTGTATCCCGAAAGGGCAGCGCAGGACCTGCTCTCGGTGTCTTTCCAACCCCAGCTGAGCTCATAGGCAGGGATGAGCATGAGGTTGCAGCCTCTCGACCCACGGCTTGAATGGGGGGAGAGGGAAGATGCCTCTGGCGTGTGTTCTGTGCGTTATTGTGCTGGCCCTCACCTTTCCCTGTGTGCCAAATAAAGGAGTTTAGTTTTTTACATGGGCTGCGGTACTAAAAGCCTTCTTCCAGTGGCTGGGTTCATTGCTGTGCCCTCGGTGCTGATCTTCCACCTCTTCCCTTTGCTTGGCTCTAAAGAGAGGAGAGGCAGCAGAGGTGTCTGCAAGCAGCCCCTGCACCAAGGGGGTCAGGGTGCTGCAGAGCCCCCGCAGCACTGCTGTAAGTAGTGACCCGAAAGCAAAGTTGGGGGGCCAGCAGCACGTAAGGCTCAGGATGGGAGTGATGGAAATGCCACCCCCCTTAGCAACAGGGCTTAGAGGAACAGCTTGATCGTGTTGCTGTGGATGCCCCAACCCCTTCTGGCCATGCACACACCGCAGGCAGCTCCCGGTTTAGTTTGGCTTTTACTGGAAAAGACATTAAATTAATAACACTTAAAACGGATTTAACTGCCCCGGTGCCAAAGTGCATCACTTCAGAAAGCCCAGCAGTAAGTGTCTTCGCTCCTCCTGCCCCTCCTCTCGGCAGGCACCCGCCTCAGCTTGTCTGCAGGCAGGGAAAGAACGGCCCCTGTTCCTTTGGGAGGGGAGGAGGCTGCAAACAACCCCTTTCCATAGTGCAAATAACGGGGTACAGGGGGGGGAGATGGACAACAAACAGGCAGCGGGTGAAGGCTCCGGCCCCCCATGCAGGGCAAGCATCGGTGGGAGGGGATTGCCAAGGCCCTGAGCCATCGGTGCAGCAGCTGTAGGCTGGGTCCAGGGGTGCTGTGGTCATAGGAGGGATCACCAGAGGCTCCTTGTCCCCCTTTAGAGCAGAGCCAGCACATCCCAGCCTGCGCTGGTGCCGTTGGGGCCATGGGGTTCAAGGGGATGCCAATGGCCGGGGTGGCCACGTTCCTGCTGGCTCTCGATGGCAGCTCCTAAACCCTGGGCTTCACGTCCCAAAGCCCGTGGGGCTCAGGCCTGGGGCTGTCGTGGCAGGGGGAGGTGAGCGCTGGCCAAGGCTGCTGCAGTGCTGCCCACTGTTAAGGCTTTTGATTCCTCGAGGTCAGGAGCTACGAGGGTCCTCACTCAGCCCTGAGCCCTGCTCTGCTTTGGTGCTAGGGGTTAATGGGGTAACGCAGGAGGTGCCAGGGGTCAAGTCCCACTTCAGGTGCTGGGGGCGAGCAGGAGTGGTTTCCTTGGATGCTTTTATCCCTCTGCCCTTACCCTAAATGGGGGAAACCCATCCTTAATGTCCAGGGAGCAGCAAGCCCTTTGGGGAGCAGCATGCGGGACACAGCAGAGGAGGAGAATCCGGACTTCCCCGGTGGGTGAATTGGATCTAAGAAGGCAAAAGGAGAAGGCAGGAATGGCTGCAGCGGGGCAGGCCAATGCAGCCAGCGCCTACCAGCAAGAGAACAGGGGAGGTGAGGAGCACAGGCCACGTGTATTCCGTATCCACAGGTGGATTGCACCCATGGGAGCGCGGGTGCTGCCGTCCTTATCTTCCTTGGGTCTCCTTCTGTCTGATAGTGCTTATGGGCAGGGGAAGAGGAGCCAAAGGTGCTGACACCCACCCTCCTGCCTGTAAATAAGGCCAATGTCCTCCGAGGTGTCCTAGGAAATCAGGGAGGAATTGGGGGGGGTGACTTACATCAAGTGGCCACAAGAACCCAGGGGTGGTCACTGGCTCCCTGGCAGAGGCTGATCCAATGTAATGCCTTGGGTCTGGTAGATCTCCTTCAGGACCAGCAGAACAGTGTCCTCTGACTCCCTGCATGAGGAGGAGGAGGAGATGGGAGTTAGGAGGGGCATGGATGTGTGCTGTCGGGATGCCTGTGCTGGTTATGGGGTAGGTGCAGTGCCCAGCACGTGCAAGGAGAACTGGTCTTCCTCTACCCCTCCCCGCTCGCTCTGTCTGCATTAGAGGCAGGAGAGCATCTTGATGACTCAGTTGAGGCTTTCCTTACAACGTTGGCTTTAAAAGGGAGGGCACTTTGCTTCCATCAGCCCGGGAATGTGAACCTTGAGCCTTACCAATAGCACAGGTGCCCTTGCAGTGCAAACAGGTACTCATTGAAGCTCTCTATCGGCTTCTCCTGCAGCACATAGTCGATGCGGTTCCCTCCGTTCAGCCTCCCCACGTTAATGGGGGAGGCCTCTTCCTTCACTGCTGGGGGGGGCTCCTCTGCCTTTGTGTCTGAAGGAAACAAAGAGCAACGGGGTTCAGCCACAGGGCCCCAGCAGCCTGCTCCATGGGCTGGTCCCAGCACTGCATCCTGCTCCATGGGCCTGTCACAGTCCTGCATCCCTCCATGGGCAGGTCACAGAACTGCATCCCTCCATGGGGAGGTCCCAGCCCTGCATCCCTCCATGGGGAGGTCCCAGCACTGCATCCTGCTCCATGGGCCTGTCATAGCCCTACATCCCTCCATGGGCCAGTCCCAGCCCTGCATCCCTCTATGGGCAGATCCCACCCCTGCATCCCTCCATGTGCAGATCCCACCCCTGCATCCCTCCATGGGCAGATCCCACCCCTGCATCCCTCCATGGGCGGGTCCCACCCCTGCATCCCTCCATGGGCAGGTCCCACCCCTGCATCCCTCCATGGGCAGATCCCAGCCCTGCATCCCTCCATGGGCAGATCCCATCACTGCATTCCCAGCACCCCAGTACCCACCTGGCTGCTTCTCCGTGCTGGCCTCTGCCTCTGCTTCCCCTTCAGCACTCGCAGCCTCCAGTGGGGGCAGCGGGGCGCGGGTGAAGGACTGCCAGGCCACCCGCAGGGACCCCAGGAGGTTGTTCTTCAGGTCCACGCTCATGCGAGTGAGCCCTTCCTTCAGCTCTGCAAGGCAGGAGGGCATGGGGTCAGGCCGGGGCTGTTCCCAGGGGAGGGGGAGCAGGGTTTCTCCTTCCCCCCCTACCCAAGTGCATCCTCTTCCTGCCCTTGTGGTGGGGCAGCAGCATGGGCTCAAACTCCACATCGGGGACGATCATGGGCTCTATCCTGTACGCCACCGGGTCGAACTGCACGAGGAGGAGGAAGGACAGTGAGGGGTGCTGCACTCCCCTCCCGCTGGCAAGCTCTGGTGCTGATACCTACGGGGTGGAAGATGTTGAAGAAGCCTTTGCAGGTGGGCAGGCTGTAGTCGGGGTTGATCCGCTTCACTCCTCGCACCGTGAGGAACATCCCGATGGGGGAGCCGAAGGCAAAGAAGATGCTGGGTTTGTAGTTCAGCTGAGGGTAGTTTGCTGACACCTGAGATGGGGAGATGGGGGTGTTTCAGGACACAAGCTCCACGCTGGTGGGTGACAAGCACCTCGTCGGGGCAGGCAGAGCGCGGTGCTGAGGTACCTGGCCTAAGCCAATGTCCCGGTATTGGCAATTCCTGCCTTCATCTGTGTGATGTGGGCTGGGTTGGGCTGGGGACCTGTGCTCCTTGTGCTGGGGAGCTGCTGAGCTCTGGTCCTGCAGTGAGAAACCCCCAAGTGCAGCTCCTGCAGTGAGCCCATGGGCAGGAACACGAGGCAGCATCCTGCTCCGGCTCCATGCCCTACCCCACCAAGTCCTCCTGCTCTGTTATCACCCTTAGGATAAAGTGATCCTGCAGCAGTAACACCAGTGTAACACACAGGAGCTGCATCGTCACCACAGCCAAACACGAGCCCATGAGAGCAAGGGTGGCCAGGGATGGGGAAGCTGGGATGCTTGGACCCGGATGAACACAAACCTGCGTCTCCCTCTTGGAGCTGATGTAATGAAGTATCTTCATTCTTGGTCCTAAGGGAATTCCCATTTCTTTCAGGTTTGCCTCTGTGCACAAGAACTGGAAAACAAGGAAGCCAGGTATGAGCACAGGAGCAGGGCTGGTGTGTGCTGGGTACTGGATACCAGGAAGATGCTCAATGGGTGGGAGTGGGCAGGAAAGCAAAGAGGAAACCCAAGAGGCACCAAAGGGGATTGCTCCTCACCAGTGCTTGCCCGTCCATCTTCTCCTTCTCAAAGACCTCACAGTATTCCCACAGCCCCAGCTCCTTCAGGATTTCTTTTACATCCTCCACACCTCTGCTGCTTGCTGCTGTCCTGGCCCCCTGTGAACAGAGCCATCAGAGATCAGGCTCCGTGCTCCCTCTGCCTTTCGGATTGCGTCCCCTCTTCCCAAGCAGCAGGAGCTTGGTTGGGTGATGCTGCCCGGGAGCCTTCGTACCTCTTGGTGCTCATCCTCCTCAGGAGCAGCCTTCTGGTTCGTCAGGAGATCAAACAAAATGAGGGACCCTGGAAACCAGGGCAGAGCATCAGCACCTGGGCAGGGAAAAGCCCCCATCCACACCCTTGGGGTGCTCCCAGCAGCTCCCTCGGGTGAGCCCCCTTACCCAAGCTGTGCCCCGCGATGGAGACCCCCCCTTTGAAGAGCGGGTTCCTCTGCAGGAAGAGCTGGTAGAGGCGGTTCATTTCGGATGCCACCGTGTCCACGATGGTCTGGCAATAGGTGGAGCTGTTGTAGAAGAAAACGTCCAGGATGGTGTCGTTGATGAAGTGACGCAGGCGATTGATGCTGGGCAGCGTGATCCGCTCCAGGTCCCTGTGGGGAGGAAGAGGGAGGTGCAGTCAGGGGTGCCAAGGGGGCCACAGCG